GATAGTGTCAACGGCCGCGATGCAACAGGCGCGACCGCGGGCGACAGTACCATTGCAACGAAATTATATGCACGGCAAACCGCCGGAAGTGATAGCTTACATAATTAATATACCAACATACATTTACTTTATTATTATATAAACTTCAGTTAAATAACTTGAAATTAAGAACGTGTATTAACAGAATTTTTTTGTTTTATGTAGGTATTTGTTGGAAACGTAAAATTTCCATCGTGCAATTTAGTAATTTTTATATGTGGACTAGACAAATTTGCGAGTGCGCCGGACGCAAATAGACTCTTCTGTATTCGAGACTGTTGTCCTGTACATGTACGGTGAGAATGAGCGAGACAGGAGACTGGCCGGCGAGAATATTTGGGCCAAATCATTTCTGAACTGCCCAACGACTGTTTAAACTATGAAAATTCCTTCCACCTCGTGGGCCACCATATGCCGGTCATTCACACAAACAAAATAACACCCAAATAGACTCGGTATTCTCTCACAGTGTCTAGGTTGATAGTTTTACTTTATAAGAAAAAATCATAAATATAATTTAATGCTACAATTTAGTTGTGATCGTTTCTCTATAATATACTTATGTACATATATTGTTACTGATAATTTCATGTTACTGATAGTCTACTCATGTCTTTTATCGCAGTATTTATTATGTTGACAAAGAGAATTTATCGCTCACTCGGCTTTGTCATTGCCGTTTGAACGTGAATTAGTCGAACTTTAATGACTGTACTACTTAAATTAGATCTGGGCGTTGTCTAACAGCTGCTTTTAATAACTTGAGCTTGTAACAAATACTAAATAAGTATATAATCTAATGCCGTAGAAATAAAAAATTACATTTTAAATAAAAGTCGTAGATAACTAAGGAAGTCTGTATTGCGTTAATGTCTAAAGACGTGTAGTATTGGAAGCGGCAAGACACTTGTTGCGCCAGACGCGATGCGGGATGAATATTACTCGCTCCCTAAAGAACGTTTACAATCGCCCCAACGACCCTCAGGTAGTTTTGTCTTTGTTTACAATAATAAAGTAGTGATGAGAAAAGCTTTTATACAACAAACTTTAATCGCCTACCGTATCTTTTGAGTGACATTAAAGTTGTCGTTCGATTATTTTTATGTTTTCACAATTTATATTATTAGATAGTAAAGGACAGTTCGTGTTGCCAAATCAATTCTAGCTCTAGTCCCAGATACCAGTACTGAACTAATTAAAGCGGCAAAGTTGTTGACACCTTTCGCTTCAGCTATTTGGATTCAATCACTAAATTAATTGTTATATGTTTGTGTGATTTGAAATAAAAATGTACAAACCTATTTTTAAAGCTACAAAAATTAAAGTTCCGGTTTTGTGTTACAAATATTAATCGAGGGTGTTCTCGTATGCGTGAGCGTGACACATGTGTGATAAACAATAGAAACAGCTGAATACCTGGTTAGACGGGACGGTGCAGTTGACCGACGTCCATGATGGATGCTCTGACTGGGAGCAGACGCAATATTCGGAGTCACATATAGAGCCATGCTCGACTCTCGCGTCGGTATCCACTGAGAGTGCGAGGAACACAAGTAACGCGGCTGTAGGCGACATGTTGCCGCGCGCGCGCGATCCACCGCGCTCCCCGGCTGTCATGCACCGACTGGCCGTTCGACAGCCGCCGGCCCGACGATTTCTGTATCTAGGGATGTATAGCGCCCGTACGAACCAATTATCGACATTCTTTTAATTACCATCATTTACATTTTTGTTAATTACCACCATTAATTATATTTGAGTTGAGTATGAAATTATAGATTAAGTGTTTATTAGCAACTTTTATTCACAACAATAACTAGTCTTAGAAATCGTTAGAATTTATGGTCTTATTCTTTTTACAACCGATAACGATAACTGAAATTGAATAATTTATTCCTAATAAGAACGCGATTGCCGTTAGAAAATAATTAAAGGAAGAATTCATCTAAGGTACCACGCAGGTACCTATATTTTTACAATACGCGACAATAGACTGCAGGATAAAAAGAACATTGAATATATATTTCTAAAGAAAACCTTATAAAAACCTATTCTAAAGGAAACCTTAAAAATAACTTCAATAAAGCTGATATTATATTCATGTCATAGATTCTGAAAAAAATGTTTATAAAAGTTAAATAATAAGTTGATATCGTCACATCCCTAGACGGCATGATACAAAGTTCGAGCGCAGTAGCAGCCCTACGAGACACAGATGCACTTACACACATCCCGCACTTCATCTCCCGAACAAGTAGGCCACTATAACCGTGAACGACCACAACGCACCATTACCGCCCTTTGAATTACTACTCTAATATTCAATTCAAGATTAAAAGATTATTTAAAGGCGATTCATTGCTAACACTAAACACTTTTAATACCGATTAAAGTAAAGCATTAATATTTTCCGTACAACTATATACTAGCGGCTTGAACTTCTTACGGGAAGATACTGATTTTTTTAATATCTTATAAACAATAATTAAAATAATACTGTAGTATTCTAATGGTGAAGGATTTTTTAAATTGATTCAGTAGTTTTTGACTTTATTCGCTACAAACTTACGTACAAAATTATAAATCTTTCTTCTTTATAGTGTACATTTATTTATTGATTGATGTTCATTGACCTTTGTTCAGCTATTCGATAATCATTGACAATCTTGATGCTAGCGCCATCTATATAGTTGTTTTTCTCGACCTTGATCGAAATAATTAACAATAAATTTGCTTTTAATCTTATTTTGTATAAATTTAATAATGGATGCATAGAATTTCTAACAGAAAATATTAAAGTTATTTCTCACTTAGGCAAAGATATTCTCATCTTCGTAAGTTTAAAATATCTGTGTAAATAACTAAAACACAGTTTATCTCCTTGAATACCAGATGCGACAAAGGTATTTATTTTGAAGGCAATAACGTGCATATTATTAAAACTATGCGGAATCTGCTACTAAAGTTATTCGCTAACAGTTAATAAACGAAATACGTTTTACTAAGTAAATACATATTTATTTTTTAATATAATGTTAAAACTAGGACGAATCCTTGGCCTACATTTGTCAATTTAAAACCAATTCCACTCTTTTATGAAATTAAAAAATACATCTTACTATATCATCTATATATTTTTATTGGTTTCCATTTAAAGGCAACGTCTTTGAAGTCTTGTTTAAGAAGAACTTTTTAACTTATTTTACTTCGAATACATTTTAATAAACACAATTACTGTATTTTTTTATTTAAAAGACTTTTTCATTTCAAGTATACTGTTTATTGTATGCTTAATTTAAACAATATTTTTGCTAATATCGGACTTTCTTAAACAGTTAGACACCAGAACTAGTGTTTAAAACTATTAATTTAATTAATACAATATGCTTTTTGAATGCACGACTATCATTAACCCTTAATTCGACGAAATTTTTTGAAGCAAAAAAACTGTTTTTTTTTTTTTTTTAGTAAAGTTGACGTAATTTTTTCTAATCTAGTTCAATAGATATTTTTTAATTCGTTGTTCGTCACACTGGACACTATCGAATTAAGGGTTAAGGATAAAATACGATTCCCTGTATTACATCGGTCTGGTAAACAAATCAAACAATGCTGTAGAAATATTTAATTTTAGGTACTAAAATAGAGACATCAGATGCACTAACAATGTTAGCCGACCGCCAAAGCTTAGAGCTTCTAATGGAGATGCATTAAGTAACTACCTGAACTCGCCATTCCAAATTCAAAATAATGTCAACAATCCAAATAATCAAAACGTTGTCTAGTTTAGTCATTGTGGAATCATAAAGTGCAGTAAACAAATACATTTTTTTTACTTTTTCTTACAATTTTGTTAATATCTCCAGTGGTTTAGAAGCGCATGAACCTATGCATTCTTTTTTTTGTTTTTCATAAAACCGTTGATTTGAAATAATATCTAAATAAAATTATTTAAGGGAAATTTTGAATTTTTGTGGATGTTTATTACCGCATAACTCCAAAACGGCTGATGTAATATGGATGATTTTTGGTACAAAGATAGATTACAGTTTGTAACAGAGCACAGGCTAATCGAATATCGGACGATTAGCCTTGCCTAGTCCAGTCGGATGAATTTATAGATAGCTTAGTGCAAGTTAATGCTGTTAGTGTATAGTGGTCTGTTACACTTTCTCGTTATAACAAAGTTAGACAGAGCGCGTGCTTTGTTCTCTTCGTTCACAGATGCAAACTAGAGCTGCTTCGGTTTCTCAGTTCAAGGTCTTCTAGCCGAGGTTTTCACTAATTGCTATCTACGTTACATGGCAGCCAGTTAAAAACTTTTAAGCGCTTAACCTCTTTGTTTCTCTTATTAAAATAAAGATCTTCTTTTAATTAGATACGTTTTGACATTTTCAATACACCTCTGTGTCCAATGTGAACAGCGAAATTACATTTAACTATTACTCTTATCTAGCCTTTATGAAGGTAATTTATTGTTTTAGTTAGTTCTACCTTGTCGTGAGTTTTCTGTCAAAACACATTTACACATTTTTTTTCCACGAAGAACATGACGTTATTTTTTTGTACACGTCCATCAATACAACAAGTTCGGTGGTAAATGTGTTTAATATTATAGGTATTATTTGCTAATAAATCTGTGTCACAAGAGTGAACAATAACTTCGAACTTTTCAAGCTTTCGATTCATAGCCGTAAATGTATAAATCTCCTCAACTCGTTTTAGTCGTGTAATGTAATTTATTTGTAAAACCAGTTTCCAGCAATACACAGCTCAACAGGTTCCGTTTATTAAAACAAATTAAGTTGTTACAAATACAACTTAATAGGAAAGTAATATAATGACAAACTCCTTAAAGAAGTACATCTTTCAGACACAATAGTACCTACGAAGTATCTATCCGTAGTCAGTAGAGGACTTTTACTGATGTGTAAGCAGTTTTTTTCTCATTTTTTGTGCAGGAGTGCATCAGCTGAAAATCAATTTCTTGTCGATTTTGTGGCGGCTACTGAGAACACTGCCGGCGGCCGGCTGGCTCGCTGGCTGGCTCCCATGTCGCACGTGGACCCATCGAAATGCGAACTCAAGCTGTTGAGCACTAACGCGAAACCGGCGCAGCCTGTCACCGTGTCCGTCATCATTCGCGATCAGTACGGAGATCCTGTTATCTCCCCATCTCTAAAAGTTGAGGTAAGTTTGTATGGAGATTTGTTTACTTTCACTAATATTTTTGCATTTTGGAAAGAGAATTGATCAGCGCGCCTGAAACTCGCAACATACATAACCGATAGGTGTCACGTATTGTCTTTGTTCGTATATTTGTACAAGTTTGTCACACATAGGCTAAGTTTGTCGGTAGTTTATGCATGTAATGATACAAAAACTAACGTGTGAAGCGTGTACAAAGTACAAGTATATTCACATGAAGCTCTCTGGTGCGACTGCTTCACGAGGATTACGTAACGCCCTGTTATTGGAAATGCCATTCACCATGAAAAGATCAATTAAATTTTGGTGAAAATAAACTGCACGGCTTTGTCGAGGTCTATTTTGACTTTTACATACGAAATAGTCATTTTTTGCTAATCTAAAACTACGATATATAAAATGTATGATATTCAATACGATAATGAAATAATCTTTGACATCAATTTTGTATGACCATTTTATGATCCAAATATAAATAACATTATTATGTAATAAACTCGCTTTATTATATATTTGTAGAATATAACCGCCACGTTTATTTCTTTACATATAAGATAAAAGTACAAGTTCTACTCGTGATTCAATAAAATATTTTTTGAAACACCAATTACTTTGTCCGTATCAGGCATTAATTATTTCGTAAATCGTTACTTCGTTATTAGACATCTAAAAGATTCCAATTTCAAAAAATAATTTTTCAGATGAGCTTTAATTTTTGAAACACGTTATAACGAACATCACGAGGCTAGAGGTCGGCCTTGAACGTATGCGAATCTGATTAGCGGGGGAGTTGATTTCGTAAATTGATATATCACGAAATGTTGCTGATAGCGATTATAGCTTTTTCGTGTAATTACCTATCTTTAATTATTAGTGACGTCACGAAATGTATTTGTCATTATGTATTGAACCATTTATCACCCACCGCTTTGTTGCATTGTGTGCAGTAGTAAAGTTTGAGTTACTTTCATCTGCCATGGCGCTTGTTATCATGACCCGCATGTTAGGGCGATTTTTTGGATTTATTATGAAACGGTAACATGCTCGGTTATTTCCCTACTGAAGTTTTTGCACTGGATAACCATTTAGTAGCAATTCATCCAGACTTCCCTCCAAAGCGCAAATTAAACTGCATATTAATTAGGTAAACTAAAAATCCCACGGATCAATCTAAAGTATTAAACTATTATCAGAAATGCATTATTCAAATTATTCGCGCAACTCTTAGGATGTTATTAAGAGTGAATCTGAAACATGACCTAGTTTGAGTACTTTCTTAGAAGAGTATTGATTAATAGTATTTATACGTGGGCGACGGAAATGAAGGTCTGATAGAGTCAGCCAGTGTGCTTAACAAGAATCTACCTACTGTATTGAATGTTATCTTCAAGCTTCCGATATTTTTTTTATTTATACGTCGTACTACTTTATTTAAACGAATACGTACGTAACGTAAATACGTACTAAACGTTCTTAAATCTACGTTGATTTTTGAACTACTAGCGGTCGCCCGCGACATCCTCAGCTCATGGTAAAATATAGTAGCCACTCAAGACCCGTCAAAATCGGTCCAGCCGTTCATCAGATTATGCGAAATAAACGGGGCCTTACGGACAGTCATGTAGGCAGACACACAGACAAAATTTTGTTTTTTGTTATCAGCTACGCAAATACATCAAGTGCAAGAAATACGATTTTCGATAGTACATACAGAGACTCTAATATTGATTATATCTCACTAAGATTATAAATGCGAATGTTTGGATGGATGGATGTTTGTTTGAAGGTATCTACGGAACGGCTGAACGGATTTGAATGAAATTTGACACACATGTAGAACATAGTTTAGAAGAACACATAGGCCATTTATTATGTTTTTATTAATTCCGCGCGGACAGCTAGTGTAGTATAAACGTATAGATGAGCTAAGGATTATTATTTTTTAAGGTTAAGGAAAATTTATTACGTACAAACATGAATTAACAGTAAAATACGTGTAAATATAAAGAGTTATGCTTGTTGAATATCATATAATCACTTTAACTATTCTATAAAATACACTGTTCTGTAAAATAAATATATATTATATAATAATGTTTTTCTAATTGTTTATAAATTTCTTAATACGTTCATTAATTTCAGATTCTAGTTCTGCGTTTAAAAAATAATGGAGGCGGCAAGAGGAGATATAACGTGGACGACGCCGACGAGGCCATGCCCGAAGTGCCCTACCAGACCACAGTTCGAGAAAATGTGAGCTACCACGCTATTACTATGATGCAGGTTTGTCATTACTGGAGTAGAACAGTGAAAAACCACAAAACGTTGACGTATTTGCACTGCACAGATTTTAGGGAAAAACCAACTTAATAGAAGTCGTTAGCTTGTTCTAAACTATGATTATTTACAGGCCTACAAGAATTATTCGTTCGACGAGATCCGACTGTCGAGCGGTATGTGGTCGGACAAGAACGCAGCGGCGGAAGGCAACGATGAGAAGACCGTGATGTCTGAGCAAATGATGATCAACGCTCAAGCAGACGGCACTTATCTCGCGACTTGGGTGCCTCAAGAGCCCGGGAACTACGTCGGCTCCTGCCTCTTCGATCATGAACCTATTAATAAGGTAAACATTTTTGTTGTAGTACTCTTCTTTTAAAAATCTGTTCAAATCTCCAGTGATTTTAACTACAAATTAGAGTACAATTTGAGAAATAGTAGCGAGTTGGTTACATATTTATTTACATATTGACAATATAATTTGTCTATGGACTAATAACCAGTAACGTTTGTATATATTTTTAGAAAATTCAAGAAGCATTAACAACTATCTTCTTGCAAGAAATATTATATTAAAGATGTCATTAAATTTATGTTTCAACATTTCAGGAAGTAGTGTTCGAAGTGAGTGTAGCCGAGGTGCCGAAAGACGATAAAAAGGAAAATACTTCCAATTTATCTCCGGAAGTGGACGTGGAGGGGTTGAAGGCTCGCCTGCGTCGCTTCGGTATCAACTACACCGCCGGTCTACGAGTCCGCTCCAGCCCCAGCCTGCAAGCGGAGGTGATCGGATGTATACCGCCGGACGCTAGCATCGGCTTTGTTGAAGAGGTACAGCGTTTATCTTACTCATTGTTAATTGTATCCGGTGTGCGTAATGATACTTTTAGTTTTTCAGGACACAAACTTATTTGCCGTTCTAAAGTTTCATCAGAATCTGTCTAGTGGTTTGGGAACAGATATAGTACAAACTTACAAACATTGATTTAATTTGCATGGAAGAATAAAGTATTTGTTTTTTTATTTTGTAAAATCAATGTTACTGTTAATGGTGATACGTAATATATTTTATTATTTCATTAATTAATTTTATGGTAAGTTCGAGTTTTGTAGACATAATTATAACACAACTCCATACACAACACGAGTATCTTTTTTAAAAACTTACAACCCCTTTTACTATACCCGCATCCCTGCTTCAAAATGTCTTGGTAATATTGCAAATGTATTTGCATTTTATTGATGTCGTATGTAGATCATATAAGAACAGTCGCTTTTTAATGTGAATAAAGAAATATTCTCCTATCCTGAGAACTCTGCTCTTCGGTCGATTGTCAACAAGAGTGTAATGGTATAGAAAATAAGAGGTAAAATAGAGCTTGCGCATGTTCCTGTTCTTCTGTCGAAAGAAAGAATAATTTAAGGAGGATATGTAATAAATATATATAAAGTATTTATTTTTATTTGATTTGTGTTTTGATGCGATGTAATCGGTTTATGCTGCTCAGAAATGTTAACATAAAAAAAGAAAACGAGCAAGCAGTTTAAACAATGTTAAGCAATAATATTTAATATGGTTATTTAGAACAGCACATCTGCAAGTGGATGTTGTGAGAAGACGTGAAAGTTCTTAGGCATGTACCTCACTTAGAAGATAAACCATAATTCACATTCTGATAAAAATAGTTATATCAATGCATGATCCGATCTGGATGTGATCTGTCATGCGCCAGCTGCTGCGAACATCTCCCACCCCATCATGCGAATGTATATTGATTTTGAGAAGGTTTACAGCCATAACGACTCAAACAATTATCTTGAAGTTTTGCACACACATTATCAAGGGTACAGTATAGGATATAGGATATACATTGTGCAGAGAAAATAACTTCCCACGGATAGAAAAGTGGTTTTAAACGGTCGAGTAATTGCCGTTGTCTATGCTAGCGGAGCCGCTGCTAAAAGGCTGGTAATTCTACAAGTATTGGCTTCTGTCGGTGTCAAGGTGGAGAACAAAGACGGTTTATGGATACGGCTGAACGAAGAGTCAATCCAGGAATATACAACAAGCCCCGTCGCCATCGCGTGGTGTTTACAGTATCACCGCCAGCTGGACCTTGTGCTGATGATGGAGTCCAATCATACTAGTGAGGCTGACGTGAGTGCCATTAATTCTAGCAGTGATCGTCCAGTATGCACCCACTCCTCTCTTTGAAGTAAAGGTAGGCCCACATATATGCAACGCACGTCATTTGCTTGTTGCTACTGCTACCCATAGGTAGAAGTAGTGATTTAAAATCAGGTGAACTGCTTGCTCGTTTGCCCTATTTAATAAAACATGTTTTGTATTTTGTACATTTTTACCACGTAATAAAATTTTAGCCATCACAGCTTTCCCTTATGGTAATAACGATTGGCAGATTTCATATAATATCGTGTGCGTGATGTATTAGCGTGTAACGTGTATTTAATTCGAATGTTTTGGAAGTTTTTGCTTGACGTGTTGGTGCTTGTTTTGACATTATCATGGAAGTAATATTGTTTGCTTCACAACACCTTTACCATCTTAGTTAAACGTAGAAACATAAGAAAGGTGAAACTATAACTTATAGCTATTTATATAATATTATTTATCTTTATATATATAATTCTTCTGTGAGTTTGTATGTCACGGAACTTCTCTCAAACGACTGGACCGATTTTGATGAAATTTTTTGTGTGTGTTCAAGGGGATCTGGGAATGGTTTAGATTCACAATTTTCATCAAATATTAACTTCATATTAATTTATTCAAATTAAAGACGTGTAGACAGGACAACGTCTGTCGGGTCCGCTAGATCATATATATTTATTTGACAGTACGTTAATTACCAACAGATTTCCTGTTGATGAATTTTGAAAAATCTTCAAGATATCTTTTCGAAATCGATCGGAAATTTTATGCCTAAAAAAATTTTAATAGTTTTTTTTTTATTTTGTACATTTTGAACGGATTTTTACTAGAGATAGTTTAGGCAGTTCGCTAAGTTTTAATACTTTTTATTAGTCAGTGTATATTTTATTTAAAGGTTTATTTACAGGAGGAGGAAGCCATAGACTCTTGGAGCGATGACCAACAGGGGGAGGGCAGCGCCTGGAAACCTGAAGAAAAGGATAGCACTAACGGTACGAACCTTTTTTTATCAGTCTGTTAGCTGAGAAAAGGTCTTATGGACTTAGTACTTCCGTAATATTAGCTTCACGTACATATCTGTATTTTAAATATTATTTTAGTCATATCGTTGTTAAAAACTATTGTTGCATACGTATTATACCCGGAGAGCATAAGAGTATGTTCATTTCGCTGAGGTTTTTTTTAAATTCCAGTATTCACTGTTACAGATGCCAGTGATGATGAAGAAAGAAAATTCCCATTCTCTATTGACTTGGGCAATGACGTAAGTACATAAATACATGCACCTGTGAAGCTTCATAGCCACGTCTTTATTTTTTTTTAATCTATATTGTGTGATGGTTATAATAAATCATCTCAGCTCCAAATATCTATTATATATAAAAAAGAGCTACGTTTTAGGGAACATCTGATACTGATTATTTGTAAAACACACATAATATTATCTGAAAATATCGTAACAAATACTTAATATAAATATATGTAACGTATATAAAGTTGCACTTAGCATGTGTAATATATGTTAAATGTATGTATGTTCAGTAATTAGTCATACTGGGGTGATACGTTGAACAGCAGGGAGCATGCAGCATGCATGTATTTGGTTTTAAAGTTGGTATATTCCCCTCCTACATATAGGCCCTGGCGGCGAAAAAATATCACGAAACCCAATCTCACAGACTACTGATTGGAAGCAGATACACTTGTTCGAGATATCCTGTACCACGACAACGTATCTCTGTACCCAGTTCGGTAAGTATGCTCTTTATCTCATACATTAGAACTGTCATAGCCGCTTGCGTCGGTGACTCCATGAGGCGGCACCTAACCTTAAGTATTGTTTCTGATATTACAACGAATTAGGTAAGTTTGATGTTGAATGTTAGTAGATGTAGTTGATTTAAAAGTATTTATTTGTGGTTATTCATTGTACTATGTTGTACGAATAGAGCGACGAAGGGTCGTCGAGCCTGTACGTGTTCGGCGCAGAGCCAAGCAAGCGTTGCCGTCTGGCGCGCAAGAGCGCCGCCGCCGCTGGGGCAGTCGCAGCCGGCTCTCCAAGGTTTGTCATACTTATCTGGTTATTCCTTCATGATCCTGTAAGAAATTACTACTTTAATCGCTCTTTCTTCGATACCAATAGTTGACTACCGACTTTACAAATCTATTATGTAGGAGTAAAGTAACGAAAAGAGAACACAAAATAATAACAATCATTGTGTCTAATTCTGCTTTGAAGTATTTTATGGCCTTAAAAAGTATCGTGTACTAGCAGTACTGGCAGTTCTAGCCTATGTTATTCTTGTGTAGACGTTTCCAACGCAAGAGCAACGGCAACAGGGAGGAGATGATGATAGCCAGAAGACATGACGATAATGTACAGGACGCTAACGTCCAAGAGGTGAGCAAAAATATAATTAATTATTGCAATTAATACTAATTAGTTTAGTCTATATGTATATATTTTTTTACTAATTTTCATTATTTATATTTGTATAATGTAGACGGACATAGAGCCGGAGCCACGTAACCACAGCCGGCTGGCGCAGGCGGGCACTCAGACCTCGCCCGACACTTATGCTGAGGGTGCGCTCGCTCAGATGTTCCTCGGCAATATCGATGGCGATGTTGAGGTACTTCATATTTTGATTCTTACTGTTAACTACTCAATTAACAACGCACTTTCGGTTTTTTAATGATACAAAATGGATTTTAGTCATTCTTCCTATTTTCCTTAATTAATGTTTCTACCCGAGCATAACTAATTAAGACGAATGTTTGTAAGCAGGACCTTAATGGAGACAGAGAAAGATCTAGAAGTGGAAGTCGTGATCGATCGAAAGCACGTGCGCTGCGCGGCTCCCCGCCGCCGCTGCCCGCGCGCGCTTCCTCCTCCTCCTCGGCCGCCAGCTCGCCGCCGCCAGTTCCGCCCCGCAAGCACGCCGTCAGCCTCGCTCAGGCTAAATGCATGCGCAGTATCTTTGCTGCGCTTCTGTGGCATGAGGGTGTGTAAACCCACCTTCATTTATATAAGCCTCGCTTTTTAGAAGATAAATCTCCTGTGAATAAGACAATGTTTTACAAAGAAATGTTAATTCTAGAGCAATCATCATCATCATCAAAATTAATAACTATATCAAATGTATTTACTTTATTTACTTTATTTTCATAGAAATTGTAAAAAGCGTAAGGTTTAAGGTAACATAGGCATATCTAAGTGTCAGTAACGGTGAAGTCTTACTTGTCTACTCCATGGTTTAGGCGCTGTGCATGACGCGATCGCATGCGCAACCTTCCTGAAGTTCCACCCGTACCTGCCGCGCGCGGGCGCGAGCGTGGTGACGCGCGGCGCCGCCCACGTAACGCCCGCGCCCCGCCCACAGCGACACTCCGTAGAAGTTGCCAGCTCAGGTACTATTCTATGATATTAATCCACATATTTGAAGAATAAACCCGACTGAAACTATTTTTGGTAAAATTTATTTTGAACATAAACAAAAAGGATATTGTGTTCCAAAATTCTAATAAATTAATTATATTGCTTCATTACGGGTTATAAACCTAGGGATGCAGTGTGTACTAAATAATATTTGTGGATAGTCGGAAGAGCAAAAATGTCCTTAACTTATTAATAACTGAAGCTACGGTGGGCCAAAATTTCATCGAGACACCATTTTTGTAGGGCACTACCTGAACTTGAACCCATCGACTTTGGAATCCCTGACGCGTTCAGGGAACGAGGCCTGTGCGAGTCGTGAGCGCAGAACTGAAATGGACGAAGCCATTAGCGAGGAAGAGCCTGGAACTAGTGAAGCAGGAGGTAAACTGTTTTATTTCTTTTCAAATGTTTTATTTTTAGGTGTTACACTATAAGATAAGTACTTATGAATATTACTTTTGTAGGATCTTCGCCAGCGGTAGTGAATGTTCTGCCGCCCGCTCTGCGCGCTTTAGTCTCCTTGTGGGACGCACTGTACGACTCTGATCAACTTGCAGTTGTTACTGACAAGTAAGTCTGATCCAAATCTTACCGAACCTAATAAAGTTTAAAATTATGTATAATAGCGTAATTGTGCTTACATCCAAGAACAGTTATATATAATATGGAGGACTGAACTGTAAAAGCTAATGAGCAATTTTCTCTTTCCTTATTTTAGTGCTTTTATAACTATATGTAAGTTATTTATGTTTTTGTATTTAACTAATTTTATATACAGATTTAAGAAAGGAGCAGCAGAAAATCAAGAAACTGATGATCCAACTAGATACAGCGGCATTCGCAAGAGGAAGGATAGGAAAACAAATCCAATGGCAAAGGCGCCCTATTCCGGTTTGTACTATACAGAAAATATAAAAGCTGGTGATAATTCAAAATTTAACATTGAGTACGAAAACCTTTCTAAAATAAAAAAGAGCCTGATGACTGTAAGGTCTTAAATCATAAAAAAAGTCCACTGATATTGCCATGTTATGTGATCGATAAAGTCGTCAGTCTTTGTAACTACACGACTGAACGTTAGTACGAAAGAGTCTTGACAGACAGACGTACGGGTAACAAAGTTATCGTATAAGGGTTTCGTCTTTTCCTTTCGAGGTAAGGAACTCTAAAAACATTCCAATTCATAATCCTATTACCAAAATAATAATATTTTAATAAGATTGTCGGCAGAGGAGAAGTGCTAATCACCAATTCGTTTGCAGTTCAATGCGAGCTGTGCGGAGATGCGAAGGTGCCGCCGCCGCTGGGCGCGCACATGCGGCACAGGCACCAAGGCTGCGGCGCGCCATGCAACACCGGCTACGACCGCTCCGGCGAATTCATTAGCCAAGAAGTCCCGCCGGTCCCCACCATGCAGCCCCTCTGCGGACAGTTCGCACAAAGTTAGTTATTTACAGTAACGTAACTAAATTTATTTTAGCTCAACAGAGCTTATAACTCCATAAACATTGAACGGATCTTAATGAAATATAATAATATCGAGAACGATTTTAAAAACAACAGCTAGTAATAATGCTACAAAAAGGTGGAATGGTTTTAATTACAGCAGTCCAGTTGTGGTACATCTTCTGTACGAAATGTCGCGGCACGGCACTCCGAAGCGCTTCAGCACAAAAGCAAGCCAAGAGCAAAGTGGTGGCTGATCCCATTACCCGCGCCGAACCTAAAATTGACTTCATCAAAATGCACAACAATGCTGTCTTTTTACTTAGTATCGCTTCCATTAACGAAGAAGGTATGTCATTTAAAATAAGATTAAAATAATAATAATTAAAATAATTAAAATAAACGGAAACCGCATGCATCGTGTGAAGGTTCCTACCTCTGCAGCCCTGACCACTTTTTTTGGATATGAAATCTACTATATTAAAAACATGATAAATAAATGAATTAAAATTATAATTTGCCAGTATTAGAGCTTACTACAACACTTTATTTTATACCTCGGTTGACCAGTGATATATTGTGACCACATAGAAGGCGGCCGGGAAGAATTCTTACATTTTCCAGTTTTTCATAGTATCCTATCCTCTATATACATTTAAATGTTCAATAAAAACCAAAAGTTCCAGAGCACAGTTGTGAATGTGAGTTTTTATTAGAAGCATCATCATCTGCGTCATCGGGCGAGGGCTCCAGTCGCAGCCCACCAACACCCCCGGGCAGTATGTGGCAGCCGGCGCCAGCATTCCAGTGCCTGGTCTCGTTGGGCGCTGCTCCCCGCCCCTCCGCACAAGAAGCTGCGCGGTACTACTCTCTAGGACGACCGCCACCGCCGCCTCCCTCACCTGAAGTGAGTGTCCTATCTTAATGTCCGCACTCACAGTCTTAAGTGATCGACACTATATACCATGCATAACAGTTACTTACGTACTAACATAGCCATATTTCACATACAATAAATGTACCTAATCTTGGTATTGTTGATAATATTTTTAAGAATTAAAAACTTATTTGTATGATGCAGGCGCCGGAGGACGAACCGAGCACGTCCAGAGGGACAGGCAGAAGTCGCCGCATGCATCGCTCAGTGTCTATGGGTCAGGCGGGTGGCCCGCTTGCCGGACAGTGCTCCTTGCTCGCACGCAACGAGCAGCCGCAAGGACGGGATACTGTCAGAGGTGATACATATCTAGTGGTCATATATCAGATATAGATCTTTGACATCCATACACACATTCTACAAACTAAAGCGCTTTAAGTCTTATGTCATCAATCATATCTATTATATAAAAATGAATAGCAATATGTGTTGGTAAGCGCATAACTCAACAACGCCTGGACCAATTTGGCCAATTCTTTTTTTTAATGTTCATTGAAGTGCAAAGATTCGAAGAAAAATTCGAATAATTGCCGGGAAACTCTAGGAACCTTTCGTTAATCCCACGCGGGTGGAGTCGCGGGCGTCAGCTAGTATGAAATAACAATATGAAATATCCCTATTGTTCACTCATTTTTTATCATCATTCAGCGACATAATGATTTAGAAATTCACTTACTTTATTGGTATAATTTGTCTGCATAGTTCACTAATTAATCTGGTTTGTCCGTATAGATGTGCAATACTTAGCTTCATCAAGCTCCTCTCTGCTCGGCCAACCGAGCGCCAACCTCCGTCGTCTGATTGGCTACGGCGTGGGCGATGACGCTGTCTCCGCATTTGAAGTGCCCAATGTAGACCCCGGTGCCCTGTTCCGTAGCCCCGTGCTCCTGTTCATACTTGCACGCCGTGATCTCAAGGCACATGAAGAGAAGATGGAAGCCGCCGCAAGAGCTAATGCTGTACGGCAATACGCTTGCGAAGTGAGAATGAAATTATTTAAATTATGTATTAGATCTCATTATTTCTTCCTTCCTTATTTCATATTTTCTCTTAGTGGCTATCCGTGCGACTCTGGACATCCGCGACCATCATTGGTACGAAATCGCGTGTTCTATGTCCATAGATTCGACTGTTAACTATCCAAAATGGATTTGCGCGACCAGTTGCCACGTGGAAATTTTTACTTATTATTTCTTATTAACTTATAATGTTATTTTAATGATATTCCACAGGCGCTAAACTGGCTGCTTCGTTCGGCAACTCAGTCAACTTGCGTCCATGACGTTATGTGGTGGTTCTGTGAGACACTCTCTCAGTACGCGAACTCCCAACAACCTACTCCTGGTGTCCAAGAAAATCAGGAAGTAAGTCACAAGTAGAATACCATACAATTCAATCAAGTATAATTTACCGACTGTGGTACATATTATATAGCTTTTGTAATACCGCTGTACATTTTAAAGCAACAAGACGGAAAACAAGCGCAAGCAACGCAATCCGCGAACCAAGAGTTCGCGTATCGCGAGTCGGCTGCTACGGGCGCGGCGACGTGCGCGTTATGCCCGGGCGGGCGGTCGGTACGCGGCTCGCGCGCGGCTCTCCACGCGCTGCTAGGCTCCGTGTCCGCGCTCGCGCCCTCTCTGCACCCCGCCAGCGCGCCCGGCCTGCAAGCTATACGCTGCTGGGCCCTGCAATACTCACAACATGACCGCTCATTCTTGCATCGGTACCACATACTTTCTACTAATATACTTTTAATCTGTTGTAAACTAAAATAAAAACCATGTTTTCCAACAATTATAAAGTTCCCGAACGGTGTTATTTAAGAAATTGGTAAATGATTTAATTATATTCGTAGATCGCAGGTGTTCAACGTGATCAGTCGCATTCTGTCTCACGGCGAAGACGGCGCTTTTGACGAGGCTGCCTTCGGGGCTTTGCACGAGAGCTACCACACTTATCAAAATCAGGTAATTATTAGAAACAATTAATGTTAATTTAAGTAAGAAACGTTTTATGCTCTTTATTCTTCCTTAAGGAGGTTTGACACATTTGAGCTTTTTGTTTCAACTCATACGATGTTACATTTAATATTTTAGGACGGCATGGTGTGGAAGTGCCCGGACTTGACCAGTTGGTGCGAAATAACAGTGTCGTCGCGTCCAGGCATGGCGGGTGCACTGAATGACTGTAGCACTGAGACGTTCTGGGAGTCCGCTGAAGATGACCGCAATAAATCCAAGTGGATCCAAGTGACCTGCCCCAGCGGGACCCCTGAGAACAGACCTTATCTTGTCTGCCTGCACATCGATAATAGCAGGGATACTGCGGTTAGTTTATGAAAACTCTACTAATTATAAGTTATTTGAAGCCCAACTTATTATCTATATCACAAAAGTGTGTAAAAATAAATAATTGAGATTGTTTTGTTTTAGCAAAATTTCTATTTTATATGGTTTTCAGTCAAATTTGTATTTCTTTTTTTAAGAAGTATTCTATAGTTATAATATTTGTGTTTATTTCAGAACAAGACACTCGGAGTCTCTTTCCTGTTTAGCAGTGGCTCTAACGAATTAGCCTACGTGCAAGAAATCGATATCGACCCAAGGAACGCTTCCTGGGTCTCCTATTCACTACCGCGTAAGTTTTGATCCTTTTAAAATTCTAACAAACAAGGTTCATTTGAAAATTAGATGTGATATAGGCCACATACAATTCACTTCTTACGAAATAATACAACACTTGATATCGGAAAATCTAAACTTTAGTTAAAAATTTGTTCTGTAAATTAAACTTAGTTACTACGATCCGTTTTAAAAGGAACTTAGCTTAGCTATTTTTATCAATTGTGTACGATCAACATTGGAATTTGAGAAACATTTAGATAGTGAAACTGGCTCTTATGGCAAACTGATAATATTAAATGTTTCTTTAGATGTTTTAAATGTATGTTTTATTTTAGGACTGCCATGTGCGCCGATCCGCGTGCGCTGTGAACTCCGTGGCACCGAGCCGAGCGTGCGCGTCCGTCAATTACGTGTGCTGGGCGTGCCCCGGGCGCAGTACCCCTCCCTCGTTCCCATACACGCCCTGCAATCACACGTGGAACAAGACACGCTACGAGTATTCCGTCTGCTTACCACAGAGGTATTATTTGCTTTAACATTATTTTGTTTACCAAAATTCTGTAATTTTTTTTGACATAGAATAAAACACAAAAATAATATTATTATTGTAATCAGGTGTTCGGTAAACTACTTGAATACGATTCTATTGGTGCTGAGAGCAACGATGCCGCTGCTCCAGCTGACAACGCTATTGCTGGCGAAAGCGACCTGCGGGAACACGTCGTTGGCATACTCTTTGCCGGACATAAACTTACCTTACTCCAGAAACAAGTGAGTATTCTGAATTAATCACATTTACTGTTGCATACCGTAAATCCTCTTTGCTAAGGATTTTGAACTCTGAGTGTCAGTACTGTTCTTGTGTTTTAATGTTTGTGTGTTTAACAAAGGTGATGACGCACATCGTGTTTGCGATCCGCTTTGAGGCGACTCGCGCTCGCGAAGACTGGGAGATGTGGCTACTCGACTCTGGATCGGACGACCCGACCACGCCCCGCCCCCCTGTGGCGGACAACTACTGCTTCGAAATGCTTTCGCTGGTATGACGAATCAGATAAAGAAGGGGAAATATTCCTTTTCTTCATTCCTACCCCTGTGTAATAAAATTAACGTAAGATACGTTACAGATATCTATGAGCAGCGCTCACGTCGCTGGTTTAACAAAATAATGGCCGCTTTTCATTGTACAGTAGGCTGCATAAATGTTTTTATTTTTTTAAACTTTAGAGACTTGTATCCACCTTCGATATGAACCAAAACGAATGGTCGCATTCCTCATTAGCACGTGTTCATGATCCTTATCATACAAACGGATTTATGCATACTTATAAGCTTTGCTAATGTGTACGTATTTATGCACCTGACTGTACTGATAAAATGATAAATAACGGTTACACACTGTTCGCTCTGTTGTTCTGTGCTACGTGTTTTCACTGCTGCAAAATTGAGATGCAACATGTTGTTGCAGCTGCTAGCTCTCAGCGGTAGCTCGGTGGGACGCGCCCACCTCGCGAAGCGGCTTGAGCTGTTGAGCGATATGGTATCGCTGTTGCACACCGGCAGCGACCGCGTGCAACGACAGGTAACATAACTCTAACGGTCCAAATCAATATTCCTTCCATGAAATAATTTCGTAAAACACATTTCAAGGATATTTTTATTATTAGAATATGATATTTTTTCCAGATCATATCTTTGCTGCGCCGCATGATAACTGAGATTCCACCTGAGAGAATGTCATTCGCACTGAACTTTGGATCGGCACCAGATGAGAAGTAAGTAAATATACTGGTTTCGATAAAACTTTTTTACTTCAACATGTGTACCTCCAAATTAATTTTCCTCCATCGTAGACCCCTACCAGGTCTTCCGTGGTATCACTGGAGTAAAATAACTACTATAATTAACGTTTTTTAACTTATTTAATCTTATCTACCTTACTTAGGATGTCGATGCTGGACTGGCTCGTTAGTTACCTGGCTAAGGCCATCACCATACAAGTGAAGGTGAAAGGACCCGGCATTGCCAGCACCGACTCATTTACAATGGCCGGCAGCGTGAACATTGGGCCCCCTGGCACCTGGCACATGAGAGGACAAACAACTAAACAACATGCTCAATTGGTCGCCAAATTACTTATCGACATGGCTGAGGTAAGCATAGTGTAAAAACTTTGTTAGAAAACGATTTTATGACCGCTTTATTATTGTGTAGAACCATAACTTCTTTTAAGATAATGCATATTTTCAGCTTATTTTATAGTGTTCTCCTGTTAATAAATCAATTTTATCACTAAAATATTTTATAGGGGCGTGTATCACCGGCGTGGGCAGAGGAAACTAGCCGCGCTCTGGCGAGCTACGCACTGAAAATAGCGCAAGCCAGAGAAATCGAGGATCGCGTTCCTACGCGATGCATTTCCCAGCCCACTATATGGATGGCGCTAGCGTCCTTGTGCGTCTGCGAGCAGTCCTATATTGAAACGTAAGATACACCAAAATTCACTTTACACCGGTATTCTTTAAATTTCTGGAATTTTCAAATCTAATTTGGTAACAAGTTAAATGAGTATATGTTTCATAGATTCAGGGCATCGGAAAGTGAGGAGCTGCGTACGGCGGCTGAAGTTCGTCCGCTCTGCGCAAACCACGATGACGGCAGCACGATGGCAGTGGTAGACTGCAACTCTTGCGGCCCGCTCTGCGCGGAGTGCGACCGTTTCCTGCATCTCAACCGCGCCGCGAAGTCACATCGACGACAGGTGAACTTAACTATCTATATGTTACCGGAAATGTATGAAATTCGTCATTGTATACAAATCCTAGGAAATGTATGTAATTCCTAAAATTGTACGGATTTGTGTGAAATTAATTATATTATACTTACACATTACACATTTCCTGGGAAATCTATACATTTCCTAAATAGCAATCGGAAGTGTAAAGCATTTAAGATATTGGTGGGTACGCGGGGGCAGCGGGACGAGGGGAGGGTAGCAATACCCAATATCCAATTATGTTTAAATATATAACAAATTGGACAACTTTTATACACTTAAATTTTACTGGTTTCAATGAACCTCCTGGTGGATCGCAGTTTTTGTATTAAACAAAGCGAGGTACCTTTATGGAAGTTTATATAACTTGTAGATATGCAAAGAGGAGGAAAGCGCAATCCGCATCGACATACACGAGGGTTGCGGCCGTGCTAAACTGTTCTGGCTGCTACTGCTGGTTGACAGACGTACTCTGAAAGGATTGGCCGAGTTCAGAGGATTACACTCGGACACTGAAGGCGCAAATGTGGGCGCTGGCGAAGGCACTTCGACTGGAACTCAAGGCACAGCTGGAATTTGCAGATTTTGTGGCACTAGAAGTAGTTCAGGACTCCTGGCTATAGGAAATGTTTGTGCCGAGGAACAGTGTCAGGTATCATATTAGACTTTTTATATAATATTATGTTTGTTGTGGTCGGATCTCTTCTGAATTGCGTTCAGCATGTATGTCTCCCTGGTGAACAGTTCTCTTTTCATTTAGGCATATTCGATTGTAGTTACATATAATAGATTCAGATTACCAGATAATTGTTTTGATAAAGCATTTTAAAATGATTTTGTTAATGAAATGGAAAATCCCATTTTGTTCTTTACCTTTATATAAAGCTTTAAATATGTACGTAACTGTAATGTTTTATAAATTCGAAGGCGATAAGATAAGATAATAAAATATGACCACCTGATATACATCATTTAATAAGTAAAAGGTTTTTGACAAACATTTGTACTTTACCTTCTATAACCAAAAATGCAAAACATATATCGATAGATTTTCGACTGCAGATTGAAATGGATGGATGAATGAATATAACCGTGCTTAAAGTAATGTCTAACAAGATGTATAGATAGCTACCTAAACACCTAATATTGTATTGTGAAGGAGTTGGCTAATGAGGCGTGCTCGCGCGTGTTACCGTGCGGTCACGTGTGCGGTGGCGTGCGCGGCGAAAGCACCTGTCTGCCGTGTCTGCTGGGCTGCGCGCCCCTTCAGGACGCCGCGCCTCTGCGACAGGATGCCGACGATATGTGCATGATATGCTTTACTGATCCGCTGCAAGCTGCGCCCGCTATACAGGTAACCTTACCTTACCTTCAAACATAACACACAATGAATGGTTACGGTTATGTACTGTTTCAATTTGGTCTCGTTGGCTTCTTTTGCGTTAACCTTTAGCATAATGCATACTTGTAGTTTGTTTAAGTATTCTTTTCGAATATGAGAGTTTAAAATGTTAACGGGATGTGCTAATATTGTAATGTGATAAAATGAAATAACATAATATAATTTATTGCAGCTGAAGTGTGGTCACGTGTTCCACTTGAACTGCTGCAAGAAAGTGTTGGCCAGCAAGTGGATTGGTCCTAGGATTACTTTCGCATTCTCTAAATGCCCGATTTGCAAGGTAAAGATAACACAACTGTTAACAACGTCATTTCTTATCAACTATTCTATGTACTTCTTTCGCGATATTCAATGACGGAAATTAGAATTTACGTCTTGTAAAGAATTGAATCCAAATAAAAGTATACCTTACCTGCATTCTATGCTTGATTATTTTATAGTACACAATACGCTACAATTACAACTTTTACATACATTTTTCATTTCAAACCTCGTTTTAATAAAACCGTGGAATACCTTCGGAAATTTTATTTATCATACTGAACTTATCTACAACTGGTTTTTTTAACTACATTTAGAAAGTGATGATAAAATGTTTCTATCTTAGGAGGATATATTCCACTGGACTCTGGAAGAGTTGCTTGCCCCGATACAAGTCCTGTACGAGGAGGTCCGTCGCAAGGCTCTGATGCGTTTGGAGTACGAAGGATTGGCTGAGACTCAGTCACAGTCCTCTGAAGACCCCGCGACATATGCTATGGAACGTTATGCCTACTATGTCTGTCATAAATGTGGCAAGGTAATTTTTTTTAATATTAGCAGATTTTTGTGTAAATTTACTAATATTTCTTTAACCATTCCAAACAAGCTCTAAGCTTGTGGTAGGATATGGTTTACGACAATAGTCGAAATGCGGGATTCGAACCCCCGACCTCGTGATCGGAAATCCGTACCCCCAACCATTAGGCTATGGACGCTTAAGCTTAATTGTGTTGCTGAATTTCTTTCTACGCGTGTCACTTCTTACGGAACGATATTTATATTCTAAAACACTTAAAGTTTTAACCGCAACGAAAGAAATGTAAAAAAAAATCAACTAAACTTTCATTTCTAATTCTGACTTCCAATTTACATTTCTCATTCCCACGATATAAAAATAATCAATTTCTATAATTAAATGTTACTTATATTTTTTATTTATTTGTACAGGCATACTTCGGCGGGCTAGCGCGTTGCGAGGCCGAGTCTAACGGGCGCTGGGAACCTGCAGAGCTGATGTGCGGCGCGTGCAGCGACACCACGGGCGCACGCGTCTGCCCCAAACATGGCTCTGACTTCCTGGAGTACAAGTGCCGATACTGCTGCTCCGTAAGTTATTTACTAGACCTTTTACACCTCACAGAGATATATGTCAATAGTAAACCGCATAAAACCTTGCCGTATATAAGCATATCTTCATTGACGAATCTATTTAATATCAATCTGACAAATATTATAAATGCGAATGTTTACATGGATGGATGGATGTTTGAAGGTATTTCCGGGACGGCCCAACGGATCTTGATGAAATTGGCACAGATGTAAAACATAGTCTGGAAGAACACATAGGCTACTCACTACTCCGCTTAGACGGAGTCGCGGGCGACAGCTAGTAACTAGATAAAAAGTCCCCAATGACAAATGACTTAACACATATCTTGCATTCTCAGCAAATTATTAAATAGAATTATTTACTATGAAGTTATTTATGTAAGTGTGCTGTGAAAAAAAATTATTGCTGATTTACGTTTGATTATAGGTTGCAGTCTTTTTCTGCTTCGGCACGTCTCATTTCTGCAACGCGTGCCACGATGACTTCCAGCGCGTCACAAACATTCCGCGTCATCTGCTGCCGCAGTGCCCCGCCGGTAAGACTATTTAGTTTCATTTTTATAACACGAATGTATCAGTGCATGAATCTATCAGTCTTTTAGTGATTAAAGCGTTCGCGTATTCAACATTTGTAAGTATCTAAATATTGTTTATAGGTCCAAGAGGCGAACAAATGCCGGGTACGTCAGATGAGTGCCCACTCCACGTACAACATCCCCCGACAGGCGAAGAGTTCGCCCTCGGCTGCGGCATTTGCCGTCATTCCCTGGCATTTTAAATTCCATGCGACAACTGTTTAATTTAAGGATTATTTTATTAATTTGTATTATTATTTTTCCGCCTATAATGAATTCAGTCAAAAATTATTACCAAAGCAAAACAAATTTTTATTTTAAGTTAAATATTTATACAAAATTTATAATTTATTTTTATCAGAATGCGTTGTAACGGATCATTTTTCACTAATTAATGTTCAAATTGTTTCCTTCTATTTAGTTTAGGATTATTTATTTTATGATTCAACACAGAGGCGTGAATATAAACGCGGACAAACAGGTTAAGATGACTTCTTATGTCTATGCTTTGAATTAACCTAATTTAACATCTGGTTTTACAGTTATTTAACAATTTAAATACGACATTTCTGATACTTTTATTGCGTAACTAAAAATTATGTGAAAAGTCAAAATTTTACTTATTACGTCAGCAGAGAAAACTTGTATTTTTTTTTCGTAAGCATAGACTAAGAAGAAGGGTTTTTGAATATTTTAATCAATTATAGCTATCCTATCAACTGTTTCCTATCGTTATAATAATATTTTTGTAAAGATTAATTGTTTATAATCTGTGCACGAAATTTACCATAGTTCGGATGCAGTGTACGTTTTTATTTAAGTTAGATACTTAAAAAGTTAATATTGCTTTGTTATACATTTATTATTTTTAATTGTTAAACACTTGAAACAAAAGCATCAATTGGATTTCGTCCACACGTATAATGGCGTTATTTTCGAATTTAACAAATTCTCATTTTTTACACGGAATTGAATTTAGCCAAATAGTTTAAGACAAATGAACTGCTAATTTCTCTATACGTCCTTTCAAATTTATTAGTGGTTCATATTGATATTTACGACGCGAGACTTGTCCATTGAATAAAATTTTAATGGTTTTTTACCATTAGATTTTATAAATAATCCAATCAACCGTATAATTGTACAGATTTACTATAAAAACAATCGTTAAAATTTATCGACACTTACCTATATTCAATCTAGTCGTAGTAAATAAAATTAACGCACTTAAAAATTATAGATTAAAATATTTTGAGACTGTTAGAGACGTATTGGGGAAAATTGCGATATAGTTTTGAATATTTTAATTCTTTGCAAGCGCTTTCCATAACGCTTTAAAAACAAAGGCGTCCAGTTATTTGACAAAATCATCATAGTCGGGCGTTTCCTGTTGGACTGATATGCTTACCGTTCAATCGGTCCAATGGTATTTTTTACCATGGGTCGATTGATCAGTAGGCGGATCGGTCCAACGGATAACAGCCCAATCGACAAAGTTTAAATAAACTTATACCCGGAATTACGCCACAGGTTAATACCAACATTTGAAACCTATTAACTATTGTTTAACGCGGATAGCAATCGTTATCTTTGAACTATTATTACGGAAACTCTACCGATATAGACGGGTTATTTGATAGCCTTATTACCCTTTAAATCGTTCGTTTCTGAGACCTTAATTTCTGTATAAAATATATTATTATCTCTGTTTTTGTACAGGGATGTTGATCAGAAACCAAGGAAAAGACGTACAATTGCCATTGTTGTGCAATTAATTAAAATGACTTGACAACTGCGTGTGCAGATCTTAAAAAGGACATTTGACGAATAAATTGGAACGTACTGAATTTTGACTTGATACGGAAATTGATACAGAAATGAGTAACAAAGTAATGCATGACGTTTAAGATAAAATGACCTACTTACGAGAACATATTTAAACGATGATCGACAACCGGATAACTGAAATAACAGTTAATAATATAGTTTCCTAGCAACGGATTACGTTTGCGGACTGGGTCATCGTAATATTTACCCAGTGGAGGATTCTATTCCGGTTTTTTAATTATTAATCATTATTAATCTATATTCACGTTTTTTGACATTCAATATGTCGCATTCTTAAGTGTCTAAATATAATCAATCGATGTCAAATATATGTCGTGCATTTAGATGAAGTAAGGAAGCAACCCTGGAGCTTAGTCCCCAACATTCCCAACTTTCTTTCCTTCTCTAATTACTGGGTTACTATTTCTTTATACCCCTTTATTAAATACAAATACAGACTTATTTTTAAAGAGCCTGCACCAATCGAAATGATAATACAGTGGTTTTTAACATATTTCACAATATCACCCTCTAAACAACGACCTTTTATCAACGGAGCTTGCAACTTAAATGGTCAACGATCCAGTTAGTTGTGTCTGCTTAGTTTCGCGAATTTATTACAAAGACAGAGCGACCTCTAAAACTTGTGCGTAAGTTAAAAATTAATGAAATATGTTGAAAATCTAATCCTTCTAAAAACTTCCACATAATAATATACATAATATCAAAATAACTTATAGTAGGGGGAGGCAAAGCGGGGATTATTTGATTTACAGGAGCGTGGTAGCACATCTTAAGACGGAACTTTTAACCGAACAACTAAACTTTCCACAATTAACATACTTCATATAAAACCGCACCTTTAAGGCAGCCGATAAAAATGCCAAGTTCAAAAAATCTATGTTATAAATGTTCAAGCGGTTCATCTTGATACAATGAGAGTTAAATGCACGCAGAAAAGTCTAAATTTCAATTTTCAATTGCATGGTACATAAGGAAAATAGCGGAGACTTAAAGTTGCATGGTTAAAAACGAAACCTTGACATTTTCGTGCTGGCTATAATTTAAAGTGTAGACTTTTCTAATTGTAATCAACTCACCTTGTCTCAGTCTGATGCGCTTTAGTATTTATATCAACTTATTTTTTTTAACTTAATATTTCGACCTGCCATCCTAAAAGTCCGGCTTTTATGGTTAGAAGGTGGACAACCTTATGTTTGACTGCCACGCTCGAGTAAATGCAAAAATCCCCGCTTCGCCTCCCCTACTAATACAGTTAGATTACATTTTTGTGTTTTATTTGTTATTTCTTCCAAAATATTTCACATTGTCGATTTAAATTCTCTCCTAAACACCATCTTGTGTTAGGAAAAACAAATTGTTAAAACGGTTTTTATAGATATCAAAAAAATTAAGGTGCAAGGCTCTTCAAACTGTTTTTGACTTCCTACTGCCGACCTCTTTATAATCCTTGTCATTTATTATTTGCTGCCAATTTACTTATATATTAAGCAGCGTTAATCGCAAGTATATAATCGTAATATATAATCTTATGTACGTGCAACGCCGTACTTTCAATGTTAGTAGTAATAAATGTTGTCGCCTAAATGTAACAGCTTGTAACAGCTTAATGTATTCTTTCCGCGGGCCTAGAGTTAAAGAATACGGATCCTGTAAACTTTATTCGATTACTAACGATTTAGTTAATGGCGACGTAATTATTTATTTATAAATTTTTACTTATACCTTGTTTTAGGATATGGCCTAAATCAATGTTTAGCATCACTTTAAAATAACTTATTCAAACAGCTCAAACTAAGTTAACGTATCTTGAAACACTCAGAGGGTCTAGCACGAATATTTGCGATAACCTTGGTATCGTCATTGTGAATGTCAAAAATAGTATGAAATAATGATATTTTGATGTACTTTACGCCCGACAGGGGCGCTGCACAAACTTTAGTACAAATTTTTTCTATGACGATGCGATGGTGATTGTTACATATTTTTGCTAGACCCACAAATTTGGGCAACAGATGCGACAGTAAATTAATTTGGAAGCGAGAAGCAATTTTGTATATTAGTGATTCTGTTATTTTTTATGTATTAAAATTGGTTATAAAAAAACAGAATCTTCTGGAATCTTTTAGGTTATGCGCTAAATATTTTTGGGCCAGTCCGTTTAAGTGGAAGGGTGTAAGCCAACGTTTTTGAATACCGGTTGAAAATTTGCCTTTATGATCACTAAGGCCTCATAATTATACTATAAAAATGGCATTTAAGACCATCATTTTCATCTAATACTACTCCTCAAAGCGATTTTCATTTTAACATCTCGAGAATTCGTTCGATTTTTAAACAGGTGTATAATTGTTGGCTACCCCTGATATTCATCGATTTAAATAATGAATTGGAAAAAATATACAATGCGTCGCCATTATTACTTCAAATTATTTTATATTTAATGCTGTATATCTTATTATCAGCATTTTCTAAATAAAAATCGTTGGTAGCTGAAATAATATGTTATTTGCGGCGAATTCATTTCAATTAAGTGCCAAAATTGACAACATTTTTCATCTTAACTAAATTATGACATGGTTTTATTGCTTTTTTTACTCGGTGGCGTTATAAATGCTATTTGGCAGAAGTTTTGAACAAATTTTGTTTAACGGGGTACGGCAGAGTGTTATAACAGTTTCTAATGATGTTTGATTAAATCTGGATTGTAAAAATTGTGCGATGACTAACCCCGTTATTGTAAAAACGCCTCTCGAGTACTTGTAAGTCTTCGGAATAAGATTGAGGTTATGTATAGTTATGTTTCGAAATTACACAAATGAAAGTGTTATTACGAGTACGACGAAAATTTAACATCTGTATTATTGTAAAAATTTTAGTTATGAACAATGGAAACTTTTCAATAAAGCTTATGGGAACGTAAAAGCCTTTAATTATTTAATAACATTCGATTATCTAATTTTTATCTTAATTTTAAAGATTTTTTCTTTTGGCCAAAATCACATACTGAATAAGCAGTCCAATTTATGAATTCGCAAAGCTAACTTAAACTTTGAATACATACACTTCATACTGATAACGCCTATTCATAAATACATAGCAATTGTTACAACAGAGTTTTTGCTATATATTGATTTTTATTCTGGTTCTTTAAGAAAATATTTTAGTTGATCGCCATACAGATGCATTACGGTTTCAATCTGTCTTTCGATTTTGTTTTACACTCAAGAAATCTACTTTCTATACTGTATTGATCTTATCTGGGTGCCACAGATCCCATTCTCTTTGGTTAAATTCAGACTTATTTCGTGGCACATTTTTTTCTATTAATCATTTTATGAAGTAAATGCAAAGTCTAGAATCTTTTAATAACAAAAATTCTTTTCATTTCGTTTTTCGTTAATGTTGATACGTATATTTAAATAAGTACTCGTTTTCTTATCAATTGAATTAATTAACGGGAACCCAAATAAATTCGCATTCTTTATTTGATTAAACAGTCATTGAAGTGAATTTTATTGAAGCTAGCATTTTACATTCAATAGTTTAAAGGACACACAAACTAATAGTAAATTATTAAACTTTTTAACGTTCGGATGTATTTTTTGTTAAATAAGTAAACAAACAGTTGTAGGTGAATAAAACAAGATACAGGCCCATTTTGTCGTAAGTGTGAATGTTGTGATAACGCAGATAACTAGAATATCGATGATTTTTAAGATGTTTGCCTCAGTGTACATAGTTATCGACGTTTATCTCACTTTTATCCAGGGCGTTGCAGATTCTTTACACCATATTTAGGTTGCAGTTCCTATTTTGACAGTGGCAAGTGATGTGTGCTTGGATTTATTCAACCGTGTAATTTACTGTAAAAATGTTCATCAGTACGTATAAATTAAAGGTGAGGATTTTTTTGACTTAAGTATTGTAATAATTTTATATTCATTAAAATGTGTATTTCAATTTAAATCTTATGTATCACAAAATAATAACGTAAGGGAAATGAAGAAATGTGGGTAAATTTAATTAGAAAACAACCGAATGATAGCAAGACTGTTCATTTCCTGATAACTATTTACAATTTTTCTTAACCTCAGGAATTATTTCTGAGTGATAATCTTATTAAAAGATAAATTATCAAACCTTAATATCATACTTTAAAAACTACGCTTGAATTTTCAATTTCATTTTTTTATATTTCCAGACTTGGCTGAATTGGCCACCTGTGTGTGCCCATCTCTGTACTTTCGCTGTGGCATTGAGTTTTAGCAGTACATGGCGGGTGCCACGCGACGCATTTCGTTACGGCGGCCTCGTGTACGCCTTGATTCTGACTGTTGTTTTTGTAGTGGTAGCACTTCCTATTACCTTGCTGCAGCTGGCAATTGGACAACTCAGCCAGCAAGACGCTGTCGGCGTTTGGAGAGCTGTACCTTTCTTTAAAGGTAAGATATAACAATTAATTATAATCATAGATGATATTTAAACAAAATGTCTACCATAACTTATAAAACTTCGATTATTAATTAATTGTATGTCAAGTAAGTTAGATTCACACGAGGGGAGAACAGTAAGGCAGCGCAGCAGTGCCAATTGTATGCACCCTTACTGTAGAAATAGAATCTACTGTTCTCTGTCCGCTTGTCCAAAGAGTTGTCCAACAATACTGCCTTACTGCCTTCATATGAACCCAGCATCGTAAAGAAAATGAACTGTTTCATAACACATGTATCACTCATTCTCAAAAATATAACTTCTGACATGTTTATATATTTATATTACTAACGTATTCTGTTATACATTTTCAGGTGTGGGTTATATCAGATTGTTGATATCGATACTAGCACTGGTGTACACTAGTGTGTTTGTCGCACTCTCTTTTACATATCTGTTGTACACCATTAGCAACTCCATACCGTTTTGGGAATGCCAATACATTGTTGTACCTGTAAGTAACAAAATCATTAACTTAATGTTTACTTTATAAAAGAGCAGAATTTTACTAGGGACAATCCTAACGTCTTTGCCAGAATTACCGTTGGTTTCTGAAAATAATACCTATGCATAAAACATAGTATCATCCCTGTCATTATCTTTGACAACACATCGAAAACAATCAGTTTTAAAAGGAGATTTTAGACTCAGAAACCTACGGTTAGTCAGATCTAAATGTGTCATCGTTTACAAAATCTTTCATTAAGGCTACATGAAGTAAAATTCGATTAGCGAAGATTATATTAAATAGTTTTGTTTCTTTCTGACTAATAACGTTAATAATCATATTATTTTCAGGACGATGATGAAACTTACATAGCAAATGCCACATCATGTTTTAAGTAAGATAAATATTATTATAAAGTTATATTATATATGTTATTATAATAAAAAATAATTTATTCCTTTACTTATTACAGTGAAACTTTTCTGGCACCAGTCAGCGAAAAACCCGAGTACTATGTCGCGGTATCTTTGGTCATCATTGTTTTGTCAACACTACTGCCTTTTACGTGAGTATACATTTGCTTAATAGCTCTTTGTTACAAATGTTATGAAGATATTTATATGCTAGTACTGTAAGTCGACTGCGAATAACGATACATACCATATATAATGTATATGTAGCATAGTATGGTGTGAAGTCGACATACATACTATATTTTAATACTTAATAAAATATTACAAAATCTGAATGCCTTTACCTAACGAATAGAATGACTAGTCATTTTAGGCAAAAATAAAGGGACATAACATATATAAACGTTCACAGAGATTACAAAACAGGACTAGCATCCAACAACGATAAAAATTGTTGCATTATTTGATTTCCATTCTATATAAGAAAAGGTCAATGTTTGTTTTTTTTCAGGTTATTCGGTCCATTTAAATTTATGAAGCGTATTCTTTATGTCCTGGGCCCTATCATATTTGTATTAGGCATTGTTATAATATGTTGCATTGGAGATAGAAGTGGTTTGACTACATTCTACAACAGTGCTGACATACGGAATATGCTCGACCCGAGCATATGGTACGGGGCTTTGATACAAGCTTTATTGGCATCTCAGACTGCTAACGGATATCTTATTCTAGCCGGGGATTCTATTTATACGAATACGAATATTCATTGGTAAGATAATTTACATTGTATGTGCCTATTTCCACTTAGCTGTTAACCGCGCGACTTTGCATGTAGAGGCTTTTTGCGCTATATTCGCGACCGAGACTGACCGAGACCGACCGAGAAATAAGAACGGCGGTTATTGCTCGGCTACCTGCTTAGTGGAAATTGCAACTCAAAGCTTATCGTACGTGAGAAGAATATTTGCTATACAACGCAGTTTTTGCATCTCTTTTATATGTTAATAGTATTATCGAGTTTATTTATGGTATATCATAATTATACTTACTGTTTTAGGACATCATTAATCTTTACTGGGACGAATGTAGCAGCGTGTTGGTTCGGTTTGATCTTTTGGCATAGTGTTAGCAGGGGTGTGGACCGCGACACCAGCCCAGTCGCGGTCCTCGTAGAAACGTACAAGGCGGCAGTCGAGAAAGAACTGAACACTGCTTGGCCGATACTTATCTTCATTCTATTGTTACTCTCGGGAATTGTCACTATGGTTAGTCGTTTTATCTTATACAATTGCATTGATTATTAGTTAAAAGTTTTATCATTGTATATACCCAAAGTCTCAATATTATAAGGCTATACATTCGAGAATAAAGTAGGGTTGAAAAAAATGAAAATAAATAAGACAAACACAACAAAATGAAAATGTCTTTTATAAATATTAATAAGATTTAGGGTTATCACACATTATTCTAAAAAGGTTAAAAGTTCTAAATTAAAAAAAAACTTTTTATAACTCTGTTTCCAGCTTACCCTGCTATATCCTGTATTCGACCATTGCCGTCGCTTCGGTGGTCCTAAATGGCGATACACTGCTATTATGTGCTCTCTGGCTAGTGTGGGCGGCGCATTGGCGGCCTTAGCAGGAGGTCTAACAGCTTTAAGTGCGATTGAAGACCTAGCAGTACCTCTGCTTATAAGTATCGCTACCGTCGCCGAGGTGTTGGCGTTTCTGTTAATTTATGGTAAATATATATGGCCAGTCTTATTTCACATTTATTCGAAATACAAAATTGACGAATTCAAAGTTGGTCTACTAATGGTTTATTAGTACAGATTTTTTTAAAGACTTTTCTTTCTCCAGGTCGGAAAACATTGGTGGAAGATGTGGAATTTTTAAATGGCAAACCTTTGGCAAGCTATTGGATTATTGGATGGTTTGTTGCTTCTGGTGCAGTGTTGGCGTTCACAATGTGGTGGGCTGTCACTTGGTTGATTGATGATACGAAATGGCAAGAAAGTCCTTGGGAAGCTATTTTGATAGTGGCAACATTTGGCGCAGCAGTGGCGATATTCGTCATCTTTGCGGCGATATCGGTGGCGAAGCAAATGCAATACGACGCAATATCGGTAAGCATATTTAATTGATGTTTTCTAAAAATATTTTACAGTTTTTTTTAATACAATGATATAGTTTGTTTAGCAACGCAATTTTAACAATTATTTGATAAGATTAAAATGCAATTGCTTATCTTGTGCTCAGCGAAATGTATATAAAAATAATGTCAACATTTTTCCTGATCGTGTACAAAAAAGGAGGAGACCTTGTTAAATGACCTTAGTGTGTTTTGATATATTTTTTGTTTTGTTTCGTTTTTATGTTTCTTGAGGAAATTAATTTGTCAACAGAAGCTGCAAGCATCTTTCAGACCTTCAAGGCACTGGGGCCCGAGGGACCCTATAGCTCACTACTATTGGTTGGCACGTCGCGAGGAATCCGAGAGAAATTTACCTAGAACTAGTTACAGACGTCAATTGGGACAGTTTTCAGGCAATGCTAGTTTTAGTCACATCTCGAATTCAGTCTCATCAAAAAGTTCATTGGAAAACAAAAAGCGATCGAATTCTGACGACTGGATGTACACAGAATACAGAAGAAAATATTTAGAACAAATGTATCCAGACATTATCCAGCACAGCAAGAAGAGATCTATGTCTTTAGACTACTCTGTGGTCACGAAAGCAAACTTTGTTATTACAGACATACATATAAGTCGAGAAGCAACTAATATTGTACCAGAACTGAATAATAATAATCCAAGTGTACCGGGATAAATTTGAATATTAATTAATTTTGTACGCTTTAACTACTATGTATAAGAATTTGTATAATAAATTTAATGGAATATAAAAATCAGATTGGATGTTTCTATTTATTCAGATATTCCATTAATACTGTATTCAATTATTATTGAAAATATAAAAAAATACTTAAGAAGTATATGACACAAAAATATCTTTAAAGAAAATGGAATGATTTTAAGTGACTACCATCATTAGCATAGTGTGAAGTATGAAAAATAAAATGCTGGCGCTCAATATTTTTTTTTGTAATTCATCATTAACGGCGAGTTTTCACTACCGAAACATATTATATGCTAAAGGAAATTAAAAGAATATGTTAATTATGATTTCGATGTTGAAATGTTTTGGTCTTGCTGATTATTCGCTATGCAGTATCAAGCTTGCGTTCCATTCTATGCATCTGGTAACAAATATTATCTAGTAAAGAAAATTTAAGTATTCAAGATAACTACACTCATAGCATTTTAAAAAGATCAATATTCAGTGATCTAATGTTAAGTGACTACATTTAAAATATTTACAATGCGTTTCGAATAGAAACGTGTCTAAACCGTGCTAGTGACGTCACAAAATTAAATGTTTATTTTTTTAAATCTGTATGCATACAATTTTTTTTAAATACTGAAGTCATCTACGGACACGTTGTTATTTGAAACGTGTTACTATTTTTGCCTGGGCTAGAAATACTTTAAGAAAAATAAAAAATACTGCTAAGCGTTCTTTAATCCTTCATCTGCATTGTTCGGCTGGTTGGAGCGGAGTCAGCGGTGGAATCGGTGGGTATAGTCGCTGCAGCTGCCAAGAATCTTTTGTTTATTTCCATAATCATTTGCTGGCGAATATGATTTCAATAATTATTCAAATCCTATATGATATAATGATGAAGCTTAGATATTTTAAGTCGATAATAATCTGTACAGACGTTGTTTTTAATCACATTTTTTTTAATATAAAATTAATTCGGTGGCCGTCTTAAAGATCCTAATAAGTATGTATCGCAGTATCCTTGTATTACCTAGAATCAAAAACAACGCCTGCTTTTTATTCTAGACTTAAGACACATAATAGATGATTTTATTGCTATTATCTTCACGACTCCACCCGTTTGTCTTGCTGGTTTGAATTCGCAATGAGAAAATTCTCGATAAATCCAAGGTCGGAGTTGAAGGAGACGACAAGAATAAGTAGAATTATCTAAACATTTTAACTTGAACCTTAAGGGATACTAGATAACATATATCTAAATCGCAAAGAAAATTTGCATACTTAAAGCTTAAGTAATAGAAGAGCCTAACTTAAAAAGAAACATACAGACGAATTGAGAACCTCCTCCTTTTTAAATTAATTTTTAGTCCTTAAAGTGTGATGCATTAAAAAACATTTGAACAATTAGTACTTTATAAACAGTCTTACATACTTAAATGGAGTGCTCTGTCATGCTTTATACTTTTTAGGTGTTTACCTCGTCGCAAAATGTCCGCTGCGACCTCCAAATATTGTAGGAAATGAATCAGTGTTACACCGTGGCTTACGTGCTGTACCGAGGTGACCTCTCTTTAGGAAGATGTGCGTCGTTATAAGACGATGGCTCCTAAACATTCGCAGCACGTAACTCTGTTGTCTACACATGATAAGAATATCTAATGATAAATAATTAGATAATTGTTTTTCCAGGATCTTAGACTTGAATAAGTGAGGTTGAATTAGAAAAAAAAGACTGGAAATAAATCAAAGCCTTATTTTATTTTAAATAAAAAAACAACATGTTACTGGCTTAATGAACGTTCTTAAAACGTCCAACCAGACAGTGCTAGTTAGGGACATTAAGTGCTTAGTCCTTAAGATAAGTGTAAATATTGACAGCACGTTACCAGAGACACTCATGTAATTATTGATTAGATTTATTATTGCTTTAATTCTATAAAAACATGTAATGGATTGTTTGTGACATGGCTGCATCAGACCATTACAAATCATATTAAATTAGGAACCAATGAGTATATTATGAGCTGTATTCTTGCACTGTAAACATTGATATTATTTCAATTACCCGTATTTCCTTACAATAATCACGGCTGGCTGCTTGCTTATGCCTGAGTGATCAATTTGTTTGCGATGTTTTTTTTTCAATAAATAAACTAGTCCTTGACGATATTCCGTGACTACAAAACAGTAATGATTATGCGTCACGCGGTGTCGTATAATATATAGAGTTCAAAGTATATAAATAATCAAATGAGAATTTAATATGCCTTAGATGCAGGCCACCTCTCTCCTTATTTTAGTATTAAGTTAGCTATCTACATCAATTGCGACAAAAAATAGAAATGCTCTTCTACGGCAGAAGTGTTTACAAGAGTTAGGTTAGTTTAAAACTTAAAACTGAATTAACTTTTAATTAGTACAAGTCATAATAGTAAATACCATGGTATTCTATTCAAACATCCTTTATATACAAGTTTTGGCAATGGAGATGCACAGAGCTCCCGCGATGTGTTACTGACCAACGCAAACGTCAAACGCAACTTCTGGCGTGAAGAGGTGGGGTTTTCTTGACGGAGTCTGCGCACTCTTTCAGTCATCTCTTCAGCTTTATGATCGCCTAGTACATAGCATCCAAATAATTCTGATATTTTAGATATACAGAAAGATTTCTTTGGTTGCGCGACTTTCATTCAGTTATTTATCACAATCAAAATAAATAAATAAATAAATTAAATAATTAATTTTAATGATTTCATTTATTTTCTATATTAAGTATTATAATTTGATACGCACGACTGTAACCAAAAAGGGGTAGACAGTGTTACGTATGCCTATGGCGCAATCCTGGCATACCTTACTCCCCTCTATGTTGTCCAGCTTGATTGCTGGACCCAGCATAGATTACCAATTTTTTGTTTTTTTCTGGATGTCTCTTAAAAAAATCTCTAGAAGGGAGTTATTAAGAGCACCCGAAACTGGCGTGCATGTATGCGTAGATTAATGAACTTAGAAGCAGCGAAAGAGGTGTGCAATGATCGTGCCAAATGGAGTTTCGTGGTCTCTGCCTACTCCTCTGGGTTACGGGCGTGAGTTATGTTGTTGTTGTTGTTAATTATCTTAAAAAGTACTGTCAATTGGCTGTTTATTGACATTTAGTTGACATTAACTAAGTGAATGGTTGTAAATGTTCGAAATTAACAAAGATCACACAACTTTTTAATCTTTTACGATAACTGGTTGATAAAACTTAGGTTTTATTGGTGGAATTTTAGAATTTACGTATGTTTTTTGTTTTTTATTTTTATATTTTATTATACAAGCCCTCTTTGACTTCGTCAGAGCAGAATTTTAAAAAGTAGCCCAAAATCTCTGCGAGTGCTTCAGCTACCTTCCGTCAAAGTCCCGTCAAAATCGGTCCGGAATAAACGCGGCCGTGCGCACGGACATAACGGCAGACAGACAAATAAAAGTTTTAAAAATCGGTTGTGGTGAACGAAACGTGACGTTTTTTGACATTACATATAGACATTCCAATTTTATTAATACGTAGTTTACATTTTAAATTAACATTAATATTCACCGTTTATAATGAAAGTCACGGAGAGTTATTCGAATAGAACAAGGTAAAGCTCAGATAGAAAATAATATTACTTCAATATTTAAAGGACTGGTTTCTGTATTAATATTTTTAAATGTTACAGCTTTATAATAATAGACGATTTGATAAATAATAATGAATAATTTCAAAATCGGCTAAGGAAAGAGTTCAACGACATTTGTCTTCCGAACCGTTTCAGATTTGTAACATTTTTTAATCTAATTTTTAAACCAACATTTTTAAATTCCGTCTTGATAGAAGTTAGTTCAGTTAGTTTAAAAATGAAGTGAATTTAGTTCCAATTCACGTATAAAGGTTTAAGATATACATTATCAATTCCTTCTCCTATAACAATCAATTTGAAAATTCTTTTTTTTATAATCCATTTTGTTGGTTTTTCCATACGATACTTTATGTATGAATGGATACGGAATGTTTCATATGACTAATACAACAATAACCGAGGCGACCCTTGCATCACAAGTGGTTACACAAGCATCTGGCATTAGTGAGCTAAACCGCATGCGGAGCGGTAGTGAACGAATCAGCTTAGCGGTCGTGTTGTCGCGAGTGTTTTGTCTTGTGTTCTAACTGTAAACTACAACCATAGTAGTACTGTCACATAAAGTACAATAAACTCTCTTTCTTGTGTTAGTGATGTCGAAAGACAGCACCAGATTAAGCCGAGTGGGAGTCCTCGCTCCAGCCGCTCTGTCAGCATGTATGGACGCATCCGTGCTGGCTGTACCCGCAGCAGGGGCGATTGTATCCACAGTACTGAAAGAACTAAGCAAGGCCTTCATGCTTAAAAAGTAAGTAGGTAACTAAAAACCAGCATCGCATGCAGAAATTACTAAAATTTAATTTAAGATTTTTTACATCCATGAGTTGTTTACATAAAAATAAAAATTTCATAGAGAACCTTCTATCGTACGCAACTTAGTCTACGTAGCCTTAAAAAAAATGAATAGCCTATGCGCCATTCCAGACTGCACTGTCTGACCTAAATCCGTTGAGTCGTTTTCCAGTTATTCGGTAACCAACATCCATACATTAAAATTTAACGATCAAAACTTTCGCATTTTTTATTTTAGAAAATATATTAGTGACGTGATAATCAAGAAGCCACTAATAAAATTAAAAAAATACGAATTTAGTAAAAAAATATTGACTTTGTATGACATTATCGTATCGTATGCACTATTCCGTCAAACGTTGTATTAACTATAAAAAAAATCCAACATAATTACAATTGTAGATAAATACCAGCGTAGGAAATTATATTCAATCATAAAGTGGGGCCTGTAAAAAACTGTTGCGGTTCATCGGCAACCCATTATTACAACTTTGAAACTAAAGTCATTATTATACAAGCAATTCGAAGAATTAAACTCTTTTTCTTTCAAATGTCTTGAAAATTACTATAATTTAATAAATGTATGTGCTACTGAACATGTTACTTTTGTGCGTATTTTTTTTTTACTTTTACTGCACAATCATGTTTTAATAATATAACTCATTACGGTCAAGGAAGTAAGAAATATTTTTTCTTTATATTTTTACTAGCTGTCGCCCGCAACTGTGTCCGCACAGTATAAAAAAAAAAACGTAATTAGTAGCATATGTGTTATATATGTACGACAAATTTTATAAATATCCGTTCAACCGTTTTGGAGATACGTTCAAACATCCATCCATCCATCTAAACATTCGCATTTTATAATATTAATAAGATATATAAAAACTATACAGAGATAACATATTTCCTTGAGAAACCTAATATATCAACTTCAATGCCTTCTTGTCATATTTTGTATGTGGGCCACGTATCTTTGAAATAGATGCACGCTTCCTCAATTTTGCTTATTATTGTTAAATATATTTGAAAATGTTTAATCTAGCTATTTTGAAGTGAATACTACATGACTGTGTAGTTACAATAATCAAAATACGGATGAACGAACTCATGTTAAGAATGTTTGTTAAACGGCTATCGTGTTAATAGACTTCAAATACACTAACAACGAATTTTCATGGTTCCACTGCTAAAACAAAGGTATAAAATATATTGCTGTTTCAATTTTCTTAAGGAGAATAACAAGGAAAGCAATATGTTTTTGTATTTATGTTACCGGCAGTGGAAACATAAAGACAGAGTATGCTAACACGAATGTCATTTTCGCATGTAGTATCTAATGAATTTGCTAAAAAGTTTGTTATTCGCGACTGCGTGTTGGTCAAAGAAATGATCATTTTATTTTTGGCACCTTTTAAAAAATCAATTATAAAACGACAAAAATATTGCCTGACACCAGTCAGTAATCTGTGATGTTACGTATATCTAAATAGTGATGAAAGGTGTATAAAGATAAACAAGATGAATACGTGACGTAACTTATAATACAGTCAGCTGCATAAATATGTACACAAAGAAATAAACTATTCTATGCTTTCGGTTATGAAAATATGCACACACGTATCCGTGCCAATTGTACCATATTATTGACGAATTCGCACAAACGTATTTTTAAACCGTAGTTGTGTACAAGTTTATAAAATTAAATAAGTGTATAAATATTTATGCAGCTTACTGTACCTCTATACCTGATAGACGAACCACTTCCTAAATAGTGTTGTTACGTGGGCAGCTATGATGAAAAATACGCTACGAAGAGATTGCGTGCTCGCTTATGTTGAACCCAATTGACATAATTTTAAAAAGATAATAGTCACATACATACATTGTAGGGGCGATCGGTTCTTAACCAAATATTCGACTACTTTCGGGAACCATAGCCAAAAATTTTTAGCTTATTTTTTTACAAAAAATTGTGTAACTTTTAAATATCGTTAAAATAAATATAATATTCATTACTTTAGTATTCATTACTAGATAAAATTTAACAGCCTGAAGCTATTTAAACACCAAGCATTCGTAGGTCTTCGGTTTGCAGTCAACAGTTTTCTTTGCTATGAACCAGTCCTCTAATGTAGTTGTGAACAAAATGAAAATTAAGTGCAATATATCATGGCATATTTGTCAAGGAAACATTTTTGTAAGTTATAATGAATTATTCAAAACAACATCACAAATTTGCGATTATATTGCCTATTGTTCTTTTATCTAGAGTTTTATTTGGTTAGATCGTTAAATTTTAAAGATGTCTACCCGAATATTAATGATATTTTTAGTAACTATATACTCATATCTGTGTATCTATAATCAAATAATTCATGTTATCAAGCGTAGTTTTCTGTACCGAATCACCGATTTCACAGTGTGTTTGAACTAATCTCTCTCTCTATTCACATCCATCGTTTCCTTGTTACTTCTCTTTTTTACCATCTATCGAAGTATGTTCCACTCTGTACGATTATACGCCAAAACAAAATTACCTCTGGTTTCTCAAATGCAATTTTAACTGCAAATATTCACTACTTGAATGATCGTTCTTTTCATATTGAAAAGTGCGTTCGATCAAAATAACCTTTTCTACTTTACATTTGCTTGCTAATGATAAGTCTTATGTGGGTTTTTTTATGTTACTATTAGATTTCTCCGGAACTGTTTACACGAAACAAAGAGTAATTAATTCGCGCAACGTATCATATTCCCAGCGTATTCTTTGTCTCATTACAATGTTCCTATTAATTTGATTTAATGTCAATCAGTTCCATAGTTTTATAACTGTGCGATTCCATTGCCTAGATGCCTGTACAAAAGTATATTGTCATCCCTTTCATTTTCTTACAAAATATAATGATAATTTTGTTTAGATCTTCAAGCAATGGAAGCCTACACGGATACCTTTGTTTGCTCGTTTGAAGGATTTCTGCAAGGCTCATTACTCTTTGGTTCCGGCGTCTAGTTGTGCAATGATAAAATTATTGTCACACAATTTTAACACCTTATGATCAAGCTGTAAACGCCTCGTAAATATCTTTTCAAATAACATTAACAATGGTTTATTGAATTTGAATGTTTATTACTTTATTTACCGAATACGAATTGCGTTTACGTAATACGATGTAAAAAACAAGTATATTTTATTTTGTGCTGCATTTTGGCATACTTTTTATCAATTCTTATAGAGATTTGACAAGTTTTTTTTTTGGCGCATTTGAATTTAGTGATAGCATGAACGTTTATTATAGATCCTTGTTTTAAATCCCTCTTTGAAAACTTTGCATGCATAATGAATACTTTGTTAATAAAAGTGAAAGTCTAGTGCTTTGAATCGTAAATCTACATATCTGAATGGTTGCCCTTTTGTTTAATGTAGTGTATGCAGATGTGCTCTTGCGGCAGATGTACCGTTTATATACCAGTTTATATAAAAAGGGAGTTACGAAATGCTTTGTGCATAGTTCATATTATGTTACGTTTTAATACAACCTGTTAGCTTTAAGTTCGCTTGTATTTTTCTCTCAGTTTTCTTTTTAAATTATTTAAAACGACGTAGAATAACTTGAATTTTGGATAATAATTGTTATTATATGCGGTAAGTGGGTTTCTTTATTAAGGTTACATTTTTGTTAAGAAATAAGACCGGAAGTGTTTCAGACAGATTAGACCCGGTAGATTGAGGCTGTTTAAATATACTTCCAATTTATTCATTGCCTTTTGACAGTAGTTTGTTAAGCATAATATAACGCAATAATACGATAACAAAGGGAAAAGTTATTGGTTCAATTAGTTGTAAATGATTGTTCGCTTGCAAAAACCCTGTACCGTCAGGTTGATGCACGCAACACGCTTGTAGTCAAACCGGTTCTCACGCACGACGAGACGAGAGCACGCGACATGTCGCACGATCGCCCGATTTGAGCTCTGATTTGATGTTTTGAAATCTAAACGTAGATTTACACTGACGTGAAATACTTGAAGATATTGAAAGGGATCACAATACGTATTAATAAATACAGGTGGGACTGCAGTGGGATATTACGCTAATAAAATATTTTTCTTGGCGAAAGATCGGTAAAAGTTCGTAGAGATGACGAGAAGTCTTTATTGGTAAAGAGGTACCTAGAGAGAGATCTTAATTTAGAATTTGTATGATATATTTAAACTAAATGTGACCGCTCAACAACTCTAAGTACGGTAATGCGTGCCCAAACCTTGCACATTATTATTTGTGTGTAGAAAAAAAAAACAATTTTTTTTAATTTGTTAAATTTGAGTCTTTCGCTGCTACTCATGGCAAAAGTTTAAATTAAAATTTCAAACACATGTATCTATTTACAACATGATTGGCATTAAAAATATTATATAGTACTAAGTTGGGGAATTAGGGTATTTCATAACTGTAAAGCAACGAGGGTGCAAAACTGGTTTGCCTTGAACGTCAATTCCACTGCAGATGCACGAACTTACAGTTGGCAACTGTACCGGTGAACAAACGTTGCCTTTTGTAGCATTATTTTTTTGTATAATAGAAAAGTTATCGCAGATTTTTAGTTTTGCACATTTGAGATTAAGTTATATTTCAATCATCTATATATATATAAAAGAAAGTCGTGTTAGTTACACTGTTTATAACTCAAGACCGGCTTTACAGATATGGCTGAAATTTGGTGAGGAGGTAGCTTAGAGCCAGGAGACGGACATAGGATACTATTTATTCATTTTTTTTCGAATTTATGCCTTGAGGAGCTGCTTTCTATTTAACTTACTAATACTATAAATGCGAATGTTTAGATGGATGTGATGTGGATGGATGGATAAATGTAAGTAATGTGAGCTACACTAGTTAAGTTTTTTTATATATCCACGCGGACGGGGTCGCGGTCGACAGCTAGTTGTTCATAAAAACGTATTCGTATGTTTATATTAAAAATAAATTATTAAAACATATTATTAACACTTCTGTGTGTATTTTTTTATTTAAAATGTTTTTGGAACTAACATTTATACGTGTGTTTTAAATTATTTGCCTTTTGTTTACACATATCAGATATCTCGTTTTAAAATGACGCGAAATTGTCACTTAGTATTCAAAGGTAACTAACCGTAATAGTATGTAAACAACATTCTCTACCACAAGGTCTTGTGGTTTGACAAGGTTGTTACGAATGTTAAGGCCGTTGTATTAATTTGGACGAAAGCCCTTACGATAATTTAAACTTCGTTGTTTTCAACATCTGACTGACAATTGTTGTTTGAAAATTCGGCGTGTTATTGACTCTTTAGCTCTTTGTCGACGTTTTCAGTTTACGATTTCCATTAATGAAAAATAATTTCCTGACCCTTTTGTCTCCGTGGCGGACGAGGAAAATATGATGCACTTTCCTCATTAATGCTAAGTGGACGACGGAATATTAATTATTCCGTAATACTTATAGACTGAAAAAAATATCAAATTATAAAACAAATTAGTTGTCATTGCAATTCACATTTTGTATCATAGTCCGATTTCATAATGTCGCAGTAATGCTACGATATTTTTTTATAAAAGACGGGGCAAACGATCGCGGGAACTCCAAAGTGATCATTAACTACCATGGACATCCGCAATACAAAAGGAACTGATAAATTTATAGCAAAGTTCCAAACGTTAGGATGATTAACTTGCAGTTTTTATTCGTCCAGCAATTAATGCCACAATACGGCCAGGGCGATAAACAAATTGCACTCATTGTTCCACCTTCGTGTGAAACAATAGAAAAACAACTGTATCATTATATCGATGAGATATTTTCTTTACGAAACACATTACACAAGATTAAATATCAAGGAAGTAAATATTACCAATGAAAAGAGTACTGACGATACGAATATGTATTTCTGTAAATTTCTATTACAAATTGTATCAGGACTCTGAGGACCGTGAGTCTGAAGATTCCTACAAAATTCTCTACATTGTCTTTGTGCAAGTTTTAGAAGAGACATTTCAGTTTGGTATTTACTTTTGTTTTAAAATTGTTATTGTTATACAATTGTTCTTTTCAGATGGTTCCATGGGATCATGTCGGCTAAAGAGGCGGAACAGCTTATCATGGAGAAGGGGAGGAATGGCTCGTTCTTGGTGCGGGAGTCGCTGACCCACCCCGGCGAATACGTGCTCTCTGTTCGAGTCAGGGGTCGCGTGTCCCATGTCATGATACGTAGACAGGTAAGTCATAATATGGTGTTGTTTTTGTTTCATTGCCACTAGAGCACTGTGATGTCTCAGACTGTACTGAATCCGAAGAGTAATGGACGTGTACATTTTAGCGGCAACGTCGCAAATCCAATGGTATATCCTTTTGCTACGTAAGGACTTCTCGTTCAAAATTAGCGACGTTGCCACACCGTGAACAGTGCGTTTGGACAACTAAGCGACGCCATGGTGTCCTAGTAGAGCTCTGAGGCACCAACTGAATATATGTAGTGCCCTTTCTCTTTCCCTTCTGAGTATTTTGCAACGAACTACCTTATATATCTGCTTGCCTGGTTTCCATATTCTGTATTTTGTTTTATAGATAGTTTGTTCTTTTTACCCCTGAGCATTCACAGTTTATGCGCTACGATGTTTACTATCTTATTTTTATGTTAGCCTGGTAGGATTCGTAGCACTACAATAGTTTTCGTATACATTTATTTTACCAACAACCACCAAACTTTATCAATCAGTGAAAAATTATATCAGTTAGTTTTGCTTTGTCTTATATGGGCTTTACTTTTAAAAACATGAGTCAGATTTTCTTCAAGACAATTTGAGGGTTAGTGAGGGTCTTCTGAGAATTTAATCCAGTCAACAAGTGACTCAAGAGACTGAGGACGTTTGACCATAAAGAGTGAATCGTGGGCATGTTAGCTAATGATATCACTGTCTTGTCATGCGATTAACAGTTTTTTATATGATATCGTTAAACATTACCAACAACATGAATGAATAATTAAAATAGCCTGTGATGCAAGTACACAGTACATGTTAAGAATTTTAATACATATAACGTAAACATAGTTAAACAACTTTGAATTACATAAGTACTCTAATGTTCCAGAATATTTTTCTAAATGTCATAGACAAAGGGAATAGAAAAATGGTAACTATAGAAAAATATTATAACATACGTGCAGGTTGCATCACGAAGTTTACCGCCTTCCTAAGAACCTTTCGCATTTTATCTGTTTAAATAAATATAATAATTTAATTTTATCCTTCACTAAAGTTTGCCTCCACTATTAAACAAAGTTCCGTAAAGCCTTCTTTTGACTCGAATCTCATATTTAGTCAGCAACGGTTCAACACATCTTAATAAAATTATAATAGCACAGATATAGAACATAATCTTGAATAACACATGTGATAGTTTTAGGATGAACATGTTTTGGTCTTAAAAACTCTATAACCGTTCAACATATCTTATTCAAAGGAACATAGTGTGTACTCGACAAGAATATACTTTGGGAAGGGAACAAATTTAGCAATGTTTTTTTTCGCGCACGAAGTCGTTGGCAAAAGCAAGTACAACATGTTGTTCAAAATGACACAATTATTACATGTTAATTAATTACAAAAATGACAAACTGTTTATTTGTCAAAAGAAGAGAGAAAAGAGAAGAAGTAAAATAAAACAAAAAAGAATACATACCTACTGTAAATATTAAAATGAAAATGTTAAGAAATAAAAAAATGTTCACAATTTACTCTCTCTTCTCTCTCCCCCTTTCTCTTTTCACCCTTTTCCACACAGAATTTTCAAAATCGTATTCTTTAACACTAGGAGATCAGAAATACGTAGGAGATGCCGTTTTAAGCTTAAAAGCGTGGCTTTCCATTGCATAATCAATAGACTGGTTTTTATAAAGCGCGCTCAAGAAAATAAAGGTTAAATTAAAAATGTTCGAAAAACAATTGTCAGCATAATATTTCGACAAAGTATAGATTTTAAAGTTTTTTTTTAGTTACAAATAATGAAACAAACATATTTTGGTTCCCTTCGTAGTTACGAGTATTACACATTTGTTCATTTATTTCAGTCAAGATGCCTTTTCATTTTATAAATTCCATAATTTTATCGATATTATACACGAAGTAAGAATCTGATTAAATATTTATCTCATGAAACTGACCGCAAATTTATGCGCTATTTTTTTAATGCTTAATAAAACTGTATCCAATGTGGCGCCCCCTTTATTATACTCGGATTTACTGCTTTTTTATAAAAGTGCCATCTGTTGGTGTTTGTAGGATTCGTTGCGGTGTGGGTAGCGCGATATACAAATGACGTTAGTTACCAAGTATATAGAGAGTATAAGCAATAATGTCTTGTATTGATTAAATGTAAGCGCTGTTGTACCAGGGTATCATTAATGAAACGATATGTTATTTCAATAGAGCAACTTACAAAATTGATTATTATTCAATAAGAGATGGAAAGAAATAATCGTCAACAATATTATAATTTATAATTTAGCAGTAGTATCCTTTAATCTGATGTGGGATTAAAGTAATTTAAAAACCGATCGATATATATTATTTTGAAGGAGTATTTGTTTTGACTAGTTTTGTTTACGACATGCGCAACAAGAACCATTGCTTTGTATTGATCGAAAAACGAAAACGGCTTGGCGAATTACCAGGACACTATGAGATGCCAGGAGCTCTTAGGCGGCTAACTTAAGTGCTTGTTACTTTTTTAATTTTTTAGATATGTATAAGGTTACATTATTACTAATATCTGTAAATTACTGCAACTGTTTCATATGTATAAAAGCTATAAATAAAATGAATTCGAATCATCATTAAATAATTAACTTTTGGAAAGTATGGAGTATATTCGCACTTAGTTGAAGTTGTCAAATATTAAACTAAGAATGTAAATTTGGCACTTCACGATGACTTCTAACCTTTCGATCATTATTAGCATTCAGTTAATATTATCTGAACGTGAAATATTGTCTCTGAGAAGCATTTTAATTATTAAGGCTAATCATTTAAATTAAACTGTTACAACAAAACATATTAAACTTACCAAACATTCACATGAACCTCAAAAATATTTCCCATACAAACTTTCATCCCCTATTCCCCATTGTTATTTTCCACCCTTGAAAGATTTTTTTTAATCATCACGTGGGAACAAATGTGTAAAACAAAGATAAAAACACGGTTTCAGAACACCAATAATCTTTATTATATTGAGATTTTATTTCTAAACATATAACAGAGTTTGTCAATTTCACATACATTAGACATTTTTTGGTTTTTAACATTCAGTTAAGTAAAATGTAATACGAGTACATCTCAAAAAGGTATCGTTAAAATTTAATTATAACATTTCTTTTATAGAGTGACAAAAATTATTATACAAAATGTGGCTATCAAATAAATTCAATATTTGGACCCTATGAAATTAACCTCCTTGCATCAAAATACTACAAGGGACGTTTAATACATTAACATTGCAAGAAAAGAAGAAAGTATGAAAACAATTTAATAACTTAACATGTTATGACCCCAATGGCTATTTTTTCTAGACATAAATTTTTAAAATATTTTAGTTAGTATTAATAATTATACTATGATTCTAACATCCATTTAAATATACACGGAAACACATTATGTCTTAAAATTTCTTCTTAGAAATGATTGGAATTGTCTACTCCCAGAGAAAACTTCATTACATCATTAATCTATTAGTCTGAAATAAATATTTCTTATCTTTTTACATGTTGTTCTATGTTTGTATATAAATATTTTTAATCCAATTTAATTATATAAATATAAATAATTTTCTTTCCAATCCACGTGAATAATGTATAAGAATCTATTTATATAATTCAATTAAATTAATACATAATGTTTATAAACAATATTTTAATCTTAATTATTAATAATTAACTTTAGCATTTAATATAACCATGCTAGTTGACAAATTATTTCCTTTTTATAAACTCCTATCTTTGCTGGAAAAACAAAGGACAAACTACATATATTTTGTTTTAACATTAACTTGCGATTTAAATATTTAAAATACACAGACGGGTTAAGAAATGATTTCTTTTTAGAGGCCAGAATAATGCACTTTATATATTTTTACATTTTGAAGTACGGGCGGATATTTTGAGATTATGTTTGTTGTTCTGCTATAACTTCATTTAAACTTGCTTTTGAATGTCGTTGTATGTATTATTTGATTTGAACCTTTTAAAATTCCACTGTCTTAATTTTAGGATTTCCTGTCTTTACAATAATTCTGGCATTTGTGACTTGTCTCTATTCTGTAATTCTGTGTTCCTCTAATATGTGAGCGCAATCTCTTGAAATATTCGTTATGTAAAAGGTAGCTTCGATTCCATGGCTAATTTACAATCCTTGCCACTGTGCTTGGTTTCTGTTTAGGGTCTGACCATACGCTGGAGGTCGATAACCTTGCTGAGTGCTCGAATTATACTGCATGTTCCTGAAGTTCTGATACCCGCCATGGATCCTTACGCCTTCCTGAAAATTACTATTGTTGCCAAATTGTGGCATGCCGTTATCGCGAGGTCCTTGAACATTCCCGACATGTTGAATGTTTTGGTTTATTGGTATATTCCCATTAACATGGGTATTCCAAATTTCCTGAGTGTGGTTAATTCTTTGATGCTGTGAAATGTTTACGTTTTTCCTGTTTGGTCGACTGCCCTGCCATTGATGGTTTACATTTTGCTGTATTTCGTCGTTAATTCCACGATTTCTATATGTAACTTGAACCGTACCTCTTTGTTCAATATTTGTCTCATTTCTATAGATTAATTGAGTCATATCGTTATTGCGATTTATTTGACCGTTCCAAGCCCCTTGTCTATTTTGATTTATTGGATAAGTCCAACGTATTAGGTTAGGTCTATCCTGGCTATTGTATATTTCTTGAGGACGTAGTAAATTCGAGTTTTGGTTCTGATTGCAAGCCAGAGGACCTTGCTGCTGATTATTTAAATTATATTGCATGTTCCTAAAGTTTCTTTGGCTTCGATATTCAACGTTTTGAATCCTACCTCCTTCAATCCTACCGCTTTGAATCCTACCTCCTTCAATACTACCGCTTTGAATCCTACCGCCTTCAATCCTATCGCTTTCTATCCTACTTGCTTCAATCCTACCGCTTTGAATCCTGCCTCCTTCAATCCTACCGTCTTGAATCCTGCCTCCTTCAATCCTACCGCCTTGAATCCTGCCTCCTTCAATCCTATCGCTTTGAATCCTACCTGTTTCAATCCTACCGCTTTGAATCCTGCCTCCTTCAATCCTACCATCTTGAATCCTGCCTCCTTCAATCCTAACGACACCATTCCTGTCGCTCTGAATCCTTCCGACTCTAATCCTATCGCTTTGAATCCTACCACTCTGAATCCTACCGTTGTGAATCCTACCGTTCTGAATCCTACCATCTTCAATTCTAAAACCTTCAATCGTACCACCTAGAATTCTACCGTCTTCAACCCTAGTGCCGTCAAGCCTATCGCCTTCGATCCTACCTCCTTCGATCATGCCACCTTCAATCAGTCCACCTTCAATCAGACCACCTACAATCAGGCCGCCTTCAATCATGCCACCTTCAATTGTACCGCCTTCAAGCCTGTCGCCTTCAAGCCTACCGCCTTTAATCATGCCACCTTCAATCATGCCACCTTCAATCTTACTACCTTCAATCTTACCTCCCTCAATCATGGCACCTTGAATCATGCCACCTTCAATTCTACGGCCTTCAATCTTACCACCTTGAATCCTACCACCTTGAATCCTTCCACCTTGAATTCTACCACCTTCAATCGTACCGCCTTCAATCCTACCACCTTCAATTGTACCGCCTTCAATCCGACCACCTTCAATCGTAACGCCTTCAATGCGGCCACCTTCAATCGTACCGCCTTCAAGCCTACCACCTTCAATCGTACCACTTTGCATCCAACGGCCTTGTTGAAAATGTATGTCGTTATTGCCATTTTGCGCAACTCTAGCATTGCGATCAACTTGTAAAAGTAAATTTTGTTGAGGAGTTGGAATTATTGCTTGAGATGGTTGGCCACAATCGATAGGTATTACAGACGTATCTACTTGTGGTGTCTGGAACGATTGTTCTTCACAAGGTCTTAGGTTAATTTCGTTGTTAAGCGGTGATTGTTCATCATCCGCTTCATCTTCTTTGTCATCACCATTGACCACGATAACGACATCCGGTTTATCTACAATTTCTCCAACTTTTCCAACATATTTGTCTTGTGGCAAAGACTTAGCAGCTTTATCTTCATTTATTCCCGGCATTGAATTATTCGAGTTTGATGCCCGTTTTGTATCTTCAGAAGTTTTATAAGAAGTGCCCTTGACTACACTACGTTTTTTTCCTTTTTTCTCAACATTCTTCGCATCGACTTTGGAATTCATGTACATGAAAGGTGATTGACGGATTTTTCCTCTCCGAATTCCTGTTCTTATTTTTCCCAAAATAGGCACGTTGGGCGGACAGCCTGATTTTTGAAGAGATTTTTCCAGTTCTAAAAGTAAAGTATTATAGTATTTAAAATTTGGCTTGTAGATATTTATTTTACTGTGTGGATTTGCACTCTTAATTTCGTTTGCCAGTTTTTGAATATATTTCAGAAAAGTATATGATTTATCATTCGATTTTGAAAGCTTGTTCAAATCACTTTCAGTAATTGTCTCTAGGCTGTCTGCGCTAGCAGTGCTATCGGAGTCATCTGACGTGTCACGATCCGCATTATTCTGATCCATGTTTATGAGTGAATCTGAAAATAAAGAAAATAAAATCTATGTAAGTAAATATTGTAAAACAATGTCGCATTCCGTGAACTGTGTTTTGGGTCCATGTTCTGTAACCAAACGGTTTAATAAAATACGATTATCACCTAAGATATAAATTATTTATTCTGGATATTTATAGATTTATGCAACACTTTTTTCGCGTTTTCTCAAGCTCCATTCTATCTGTGTATCAAATTTAAATCGGTTCAGAAGTTTTTGTGTGAAAGACAGACAGACATACACAGTTTCTTTTGCATTTATAATATTAAATAAGGATCTATATGAGCCGATTCGGAGATAACGCGAACCACACGCGGCATTGCATTATTTCTCACATTATTGCCAAAACAACCTCTAATTAATAATATACAATTTTCCTTCGAATAATGAGACACAAACTTCAAAATCTCAAGATGGCGCAATTCAACATGGATAGTATCGATGGAGTCATGTTGAATTTCGGAAAACGAACATGAAAATACTTAAAGATTTTTATAAGCTCCGGAAATCTTTCTATGCAGTAATCTGCTCTGGCTTTTCTACACTAGAATCGATACGTTTTTACAACAAATATTGTTTTACTTACATTTTAAACACTTGTCTTGATTATTTGTCTCTCAGTCAACTCGTAAACTTGGGAAAATGTGATGGATGCGTATTAAATGTTGTTTATTGATTTATCGCTGTTGTTCTGCGCAAGTCTATAAACAAAGATTAACTTCAGGTTGCGTTCGTTTATATAATTCATGATAGCAAATAATATTAAGTAATTTTTTTCTTTTCAAGCTATAAATATTTGTTTTTAAAAATATACAAAAAAATATAGAAACGTTATTTCGAAATTACCATAAAATATAATACGAAAAAAAAACAAGGTTTTACTTTGAGAGTTATATATTAACAACTGTGGTTAAATATTATACAGTTTGTTCTTTCCGCTACCTCCACCAAGCCAAATATATTTTCCTGATCAGATCTTTCAAACACTTTGCCGTCTTATGGTTTTGCTGTATTTAATTCACCATCTTAGAAATTCAATCTTTTTTTCTTTGGTGTGTTACCATTTATTAGTCTGTTAAATTGGTTGAAAGCTCACTTTAGCTGGCAGCATGATCATGAGTGACAGTAACATAAATTATAACACAAATGTACAAAAAAAAGTAACTTTGAAACAAAAAACTTTGAGGACTGCAGATTCTGTCGTGTGTTTATGAAAGAAACTGTACCCTGTGTGAACGCGTATTCCGCGTCCACACAGGGTACAGTACTCTTTCCCCTTATTTTGACAGGTGAAAGATGACAGCCTACTCTTGGCGCTTGCGTGATCTACATAGTTTTCGGGTTTACAACCCCATACAGGAATGAAAAACAAACACTATTTCAATTTTTTTATCACAGCGACATTAAACATTTATAAGCGAGAAGGTTACATAAAACTTGTTCCACATCTATCATATTAAATTTAAAATGTTTATTTTAAATATTTGAAATGTTATCACTACGAATATATAACTTACAATCTACTAGACACCGACAGAGTTAAATTTGAAAAATACAAGAAAATACGTTAGAAAGTATGAAACTACTTTTTTCATATTATTTGAATTTATATTTGCTAAAATATCTTGATCGATTTAACTATTCGTATATATAACGATACACAAAAACTATTTATGTAAGAATGCTTTAAGTTTAATTATAATGGTACATGATTTTTTTTCTTAAATACTTTGATAAAAATAACAACGAATTTACACTTATTTTGAAAGAGTTTATTAACTACTTATGACATAAATAATTATACTGACACCGTATAATGTACCTACGGATTTAAGCCAAATCGATCAAGCTATTATTAACAAACCCACAAGAGTTAATTAAAAAAGTAACCATGTTGGATTCATCGTTCTAAATATTTTATCAACAATTAAAAATTAAATAGGCCCAATTAAAGACAATAGATATGGACGAACATCAACATTTTGTACAGAACAAATAACTTTCTTTTTACCCTTCTTTCCGTTCATAAGTCTTTTCACAATATTATCGAATCAGTAGACGCGTACAACGTCAATAACATTCATGTTATCAGTAAAGTTTACATATAGATTGTTATTAATAAATTAAATATAACATAATCATTTACAATGATGTCAAACTCGCTACAAACTCACTACTTTATCTTATAAACAGTCAGTCATGTTAACTAACATTCGTACAATAATTATTGACATTAAGAAGGTATAGGTAGATAGGTCGAGGTTTTGACATTGAATAGATATGTACAAATATTATAAATATTTTTGATTTAGTTTTAAATATAAAAAGAAAATAACCCTGATGCCTTCACAACTTGAAATACTTAATACGTTTATAATTTTGCTAAACAGATATATCAAAAAATACATAAAATAGGCCTAGTAATAAACTTGTTTAAGCGTTTGGACTTGAGCACCCAAAGGGAACTTTAGATGTAAATAATAATTGTTTGGATGTGGGGTTTTGGTAATTTATGTTTAGTTCTGTCCTTGTTTCGGCTTCATTTATTTTTGCTTCTCAGATATAGCTTCCTCTCTTTTCTTCCTGTACTTAGAAACCAGTTTTATGAACTCATTTTCTAAGCGATCCCATTCCTCGGTTACCTCCTCATGAATTACAGAGTTTTTCGTCCTCAGAGTTTTGCGTTCGCCTTCAATCGCGTTTTTTATTTCACATTCAAGCATGGTAAGATAAGTATCCAGATTAACATTTGCTGGCACTCCGGCGCAGTCCACTTGCGATACAATGTCCCTTAACTCGACAACAGTTGGCGGAGAAACAATGCGCCTCAGCTCACTATCTCGAGAAGAGCCGGGCGTATTGGTATAGATCATCTTACCAGTCATCAGCTTGAACATCAAATAGTCAACTAACAGTAACTGACCATCTTTGGTATAAGCTTCAGATGACATTTTATCAACTATTTTACCTATGTAAGGACACCCCATTTCTCTCAAGCAACAGCTTATCTGTGCGAGAAAATGGTTGTATTTCTCAGGATCATTAAGAGGAAGAACATTATACTTAATCTTGAAAAATATTTTGATCTGCTTAACTAGGATGTGTACAAATTTAGTGAACTCGTAAGAATTCGGAGCATTATTCAAAGCAGTTTTGAAGGTGGCAGTGTCCATAAGCGGATCTACATAAAATTCTAAGTCGTCAGCGGGTTTGTGGGCCATGTTGTTCAGTTGAGCAGTTGCTAGTCGCCTCTTGCTGATAAGTTGCTGCGCTAGAAATTAAAACAAAAACTTATTTTATTATTATCAAATAATTTATGATTGATTGAAGTTAGTAGTGATATTCTATTTTTTTGACTATATTTGTGTAGGCACTCCTTGAGTTTATTATCGGTTTTGCTGCTGGTTGCGTCACTTATTAGTTTTCTGTAAAATAAAAAAAATAAACATTATACAGACAAGTAGACTACTATTACAAAGTTGTATATGAGTTAACTGCGCAGTATGAGTTAACTGCGCAAATACATAATATTAGCGTAAGATGTCGGGAAATCCCCTAAAGAAAATTTCTTTCACCTTCTCCTATTATTACGCGTAATTTTTCGTTAAGGAATTAAAAAAAACTTTATACATTTCTATATTTACAATCAGCCATCTTGAATTTTTGGACATTGTACTTCTCCATCTGCTGTTTGCTATAAACGGCAATTTTAAGATGTAAACGAACATTTTCCACCCTTTTTGCTGTATAGATACTACTAATTTAAATCACTGGTGTATTGTAAGTAATATATTTCTATATTTCATATTATACTATGGCCTAATCACCCTTAACTTAGGGTAGGCTCCGAGCCCCTCGATGGGGACGTATAGTGAGCTGATGATGATGATGATATAATACGTATTATAAATTTAAATATATTTCATTATAAGATATTTCCCTTAAGACCCTTAATATTTAATGTATATAGCAACATTAAGGTGTCAAAAATTAATGTTATGCTAGCTTTTAAATTTTGAAGGTCTTTATGTTTAATATCGTTAAACCGAAACAAAGAAATTACACGTTTTGTTGAAAAACAAAATATATTTTGTATTAAAACAACTTACCTTTACTGATTGGTTGATAAATGGAACTTTGTCACTGATTTTTCTTAATACTAGTATTAAGTCACTACGTACTTACTTTGAACAAGGGCGTTCTCCTATTATAAGGGATATACCATCCGAATGTATTGATTTTCATCTCAGCGATTCGGCGCAATGGTACGCCTCATAAATCGCGGTAAAATTAATTTTGACCTAGTTTTCTTGCTTGGAGCATAGATAAAATATAAATTTTTATAAGCTGTTTGTTTTTAAAGTTATAAACAAATGTTTACTTGATGTACCGTTTTACTGTCCGATTGACAATACCGTCGTATTATTTGGCATCTTGCCAAAGAGATCAATCTTTTAATAGGAGGGTGGCTATAGAAGAACAATTTATTTGCTAAGAAACTTTTACTCGCAAGTAAATCATAACAACAATCTTTCTTAGGGAAATATAGGATTTTAGGAAATGTCTAGGTTACTTTGAATAAAGGTTGGACTGTTACTTTTTACTGTTCTAATTGCTTATACAAATCATGTTTCTTGTATCAAAGGATGTTTTACAGTTCGATGCAATTGGGACATGTTAGTCGCGTATACAGCTATAAGATGTGACTTGGTGGTCATTTTAACTGATTCACCCTAATTTATGGCTATGGTATATTACATGATCAACTAGCTCCATTATTCTGTAGTTAGGATCTATAACAACAGTATTTTTTATATCATAGTTCATATTATCTGCAATTTTATTTTAATGAAAATGTGTGAAAGTTTAAGAAAACAAGAAAGAATCTTTTTTTAACTTTAAATTTAGAATTTTACTCAAAAACTAACACTATAAAAGTTAAGTTCAGATAAGTTTAAATTTTTGGTGTTCTATTTTAATATTTATTATAATTTTTTATTTTAGTTGTTTTTTAATACTTTCCATAAAGCTAGCGTCTTTTTTAATGTCGAGTGAATATGGCAATACATAACGTACACCGGTATTGATTAACCTGTAGTTTAAATTTCTGAACTACCAGGATCGCATAAAGTGATGAGAGTATACGAGTATCATCGAATCGACAGTATAATTTTACATATAACGTTTCCACTACTGAAACACAGAAACATATTGTTATCTCAGATTTTCCACATAGAATAAGAAGGATGACAGTATGTATAAGTGCTCCGGCATTAAACGTCCACGATAACATGAAGACATGCACACAGATACATTAGCTTTTTAAATCACTACAAGACCATGGAAGTTGCCAGATATATTCAAATGGTATTCATTCCGTATTTTTATTTTGAAATTCCTTTAAAAAAACTAAGGTTTTGCGCTAGAAAAAAACAATCTCAAAACTTAATTATATTGGAACTTTCCAAGTGTCTTTGGTGCAAAAATTAAAATACCTTCTTACAGTTATTGTTTACATTTAATAAATTACTTTAATTTTCATGTATGAAGAAATGAATGAATTACCTTCCGAATTAATGTATGTATATCTGTTTTGTTAATGAATTAAAATTAACAATTAGTTTTGTTAATCATTTTTTGCTCTTAAAATGTAACAAAAATCATTTCCGAACGTAAGAAAATCAATGCGGTTGGGGGTTGGGGTCCTAAGTATTGATTTATTTCGAAGTTGAAACCGTTGAAGTACCAGGACAACATAAGTTTGAAGGAGTTGAAATATATAAAAGTATAAGGTTAAATCACTCAAATTAACATAGATTAATATTTTTTTTTACGTTTTTATTTTACCAACAGCGATCTTATCTTTTCAACCAAAGTCGTTAATTTTTCTACTACATTATATTTAACATACATAAATATTAATATAATAAATATGCGTATTGCATAAATATTAAGGTGTAACTAGCTGTCGCCTGCGACTGCGTTTACGCGGAATTAAAAAATAATTAGTAGCCTATTTTTTCATTCAGACTAGGTTTAACATCTATGCCGAATTTCATCTAGATCGGTTGAGCAGTTTAGGAGATAATTTTTAACAAAAATCCATCCATCAAAACTTTCGCATTTATAGTATTATAAGTTAGATTAGATAGAAAATCCTCCATGGTACCTAAACTGTGAATAATCAAACCAAGCAATGCATTCCATGCAAATTTAAAAAGAAGTTAGGCGGTCTTTTATTTTAATACTCTTTTGTTCACAAGCAGTAAAAAAGAGAAAATTTATTTTTAAAATATGCAAACGTGAGAAAACTCATCGCAATAGAAATGTAAGTATTGCAAGTTTGCATTGCATTTGAAAAGCGCCCGCAATTAAGTTGAATTTCTGCTGCAGCTTAATTAAGAAACTTACCCCTTATGTTGTAGACAGTGATAAAAGAC